CAAACTGGGCGGGCCAGCAGTCTCTGGGACAACTGCTCCCAGCAGGCCGTCAGCCTTTCCTTCAGCTCCTCGATGGTGCTGATCCTCTTGACCTCTGTACACCATTCGCTCCAGTTCGCTCCACACGAATAAGTTAAAAGGGTTGAGGTCAGGACTCTTCGGTGGCCAGGCATCTGGCTCGATGAAGGCCGAGCAGGCCTGTTCCTGAAACTCGACCACTGAGTGGACCGTGTGGCACGGAGCACCGAATGACATTTTTTTGCTCCTGTTGAAATTTAAATTCATTACAATAGCACGTAAATGAGCTATTTTTATTCATGAACCTCCGACATGCGACATGGTCAGAAGAGCAAACCGCAAAGCAGTGATTCGCGGATAATGTTGAAAACCGTTTCACTGAGTTCCGTGACACAAATTTTATAGGCATATAACTAGGGTAATATTTAAGGTAATAGTTCAGTTCAATTAACTTGGTTTTATAGAGAATTGAACGTTCTTTCTAATGATGTTTGCAATTTGTCAATAAAGTGAAAACTTTCGGACTTCAGACATTTTAAGTTAGGGGTTCCATTTTTTTTTTTTTTTTTTGGATCATCCTGTACATTTAAAGTGATTGACTTCTTTATTTTCACGTTCTTTTTTAATATTCAAGGACAGGTTGTTGCTCTTACGATTCACAGGCCTAATGAAAGTAAAATGAAATTGAACTTATAATCAGGTAGTTCTTCAACGATAAGTGGCAAATAATTAGGTAGGTGTTCGCCGCTGAATGATGTCTGCCAAGCACACGCACTGCAAAACATTTAGTAAGCAGAGGATTAGTGCATGTCATGAATTTGTTTCTCTTTGGTTTTAGTTTTAAAGTCTCGAATGATGCTTAGTGTCTATAAGCCCAGTTGAGTTCAGCAATATAAAACTAATTGAGTTCAAATGGCAATGATGTTGTGGACATAGAATAGAAATCTATAGCCTTAACCCTATTCCTGGCGGGCTCCGCCGGGACAAGAAACTGGCGGGGGGGCGATTCGGCCCCCCCCCCTTCAGATCTCAAAAACTACACATCGCAGCGACAAACGGTAAACAGCATCGGATACGCACGGTCAAGATCTACAATTTTTACTAAGGTCATTTTCAGGTCAGGTCAAAGATGACGTCACAGGGGTCGAAAAAGTCAAAATGGCGGCGCTAGATATGGAGAGTTTTTCTCGAATAACTTTCGAATTAGTCGAGATAGGAACAAACTAAGGGCATCATCGTGATCCTCTCGTCAATCCGCATCGAATGATATATATGTTGACCTCGAAAGGTCAAGGTCAAAGGTTGACCTCAGGTCACGTGACCTCGAGGTCATCATGTATATCATTCGATGCGTCTTGACGAGCTGAACACAATGAGACTATCCACGCGTCTGTATCTTGTTCCTGTACGGAGTTATTGGCCAAAAACCTTTGGTGACCTTTGATGACGTCACATGACCTCACAGCTGCCCAACAGCAAAACAGACCTCAAGGTAGTGAAGGTTGATCGTATATGAAGTCATGTATGGTATATGGGGCCATTCCGACCCGTTTTAGTGGTAAAAACAGGGAGTTGATTTTTCCCCCATTGACTTATAATGGGGAGGTCGCGAAACTGACCTGACCTTAGGTCACCGATATCTAAATTCCGAGATATACAAATTGCACATACTGGTACCCTAACTAAAGCCTGAAGAGAAGAAATTGATCGGTCAAAAACTCTAGCTCCGGCGTGATTGCAAACTTTTCTGAGGTAGGGTCACCAAACCGCCTCTGGTGACCTGACCTGAGGTCAGATCAACTCAAAATTTTCAGACATGTTGCGTAGAAGCCTTTTAGGAAAAGTCAGAAAATTTGAGCTCCCTAGCTCAACGCGTTTGGGAGAAATAACCAAAAAACCTCAGGGGGGCCCCTGAGGCCCCCCCCCCGCCAGGAATAGGGTTAAGGTGTCAGCTCACTGGTTCAAGCATGGGGAGATTACGCTCTTTCTGAGGTTGAATGTTGCTATGAGGAGCGTTTTACAAGATTTCATTCTTCAAAATACTAATTATGTGAGTTTTTGATAATATCAGACAATGTTGACGGAATGTATGTGACGCCAAAGTTTCAGTACAACTCAATAACTGTCGAGGCTTAAACTTTAATCCTCGGCACGGAGCCCTCCCATCCCCGCGCTGCTGACAGCGAATAACCGCCGCCCAGCACACGTATACGGCTTCATCCGGTTAGGGATTGCGGCCTACCTGGACCTCCTACTGATGTTTCCCGGGGCCGTCACCAGTTTGAAAATGTCGCAGTAATAGCATATATAAATTATCTAAATCAGTCATGTTTCCTCCTCAAAGGGATCCTCCGTTTGGCTTCGGTTACGTTATCGATGGGATTGGTCGATAGGTAAATTCCTGCTCGTACGAAGATCTGCTGATATGAGCAACTTTTGTTGGTCAGTGATACAGATTCCAGCTAAAAGTTGGCCTCCCGCTCGGCTGTCACTGGCAGTCTACTGGCATGTGGTCATCGCATCGGGACGTATTTTGATATTCAGAGCATTATAAATAAGCCAACGACCCTTTGCCAGCTACCGTGCTACTTCGTTTTTATTACGGAGCGAGCGAAGCGAGCGAGTCTTTCCTAAGATTAACGGAAATTTCTGGGCCGGCCGTGGTCACGATTCTGCGACGCTTATATCTCAGCAACCACTTGACCGGTAATTTTTGTAGGGTAGCTTCATTCCTTCTACCAAGTATTGGACTATTCCCGATGCATGTGGGTGACCCCTTATGCACGTGCCACGTGCAAAACGAAGAGGTGTCACTTTTGTAATTGTTGCAATATCTCGGTAACTACTCGGCCGATTGCGCTGAAAGTTGGCATGTAGGTAGGTACCCACTAGGCAATGCATATCCATGTGCCAGAGTTGGGGTGCTGCTGCACGTGCGCACGTGCAGGGGTCGATTCCAGATCTCGAGAACGGCTGGACCGATGGCGCTCAAATTTGGCACATGGTTAGGGACCGGTTAGTAGGGTGCCGTGCAAAAGTCAGACGACCCATTTTGCACATGCGCACGTGCAGGGTGCCGCTTCCAGATCTCGAGAACGGCTGGGTCGATTGTGCTCAAATTTGGCACATCGCTAGAGACCGATTAGTAGGGTGCCGTGCACAAGTCAGCTGGAGGTACCCCGTCGAAATTTCGCACATGCAAGGCTCACCCTCTCGCTCGCTCCGTTAGTCGCCCCAAAAGGCGTTATACTGGTATAAATATAGTTTTGGCTGTTATCGTTTATCAAATAAAGTTTCATTGAATTCGATTATTCGACATTTTTGCAACAAGTGTCCAATTAACTAAGCACATACGTGTAAGGAGGGAACATCCACATATACACTATAAATACCCGTACTTGATTGAATCGATTAAGACATATTGCACTCTTCTGAATTGATTCCAGGATAGTGGCTGAATAAAAACTGATCCGAATATATGATATACTTCAAATAGGTACATCTTTGAATCCAGGATACAGGGTGTTCGGGATAAATTTAACACTTCAGCAACTCTGCTGAAAAAAATATTCAGTATCTCAGGAAGTAACCGATGGATTTCTACCATTTAAACTGCAGACAATCGCCCAGCTTATGCATTTTTCAACGCAAAAAAAAAATTACCTCCGTCACTCCTCCAACACCTCCAGTGAGCCACTGGACCTGCAGAAGATGCTCCTCACATGGTCTCATGAAAGACATGAGAACACCATCTTTACCCTTGCTGCGAGTTTGACTTTGATGTTTCAATAGGCATCGTTGGTTTTTTTCTCAGCTACGCCACATAAGTAGTGACTCAAAGTTTGCCGTGTTAAGACTTTAAGTTTGCCGTTTAAGACGCCAAATGTTCGGCCCGGTGAGGTTGAAGTGACTTTTAGTGACTTTTAGTGACTCCAAAAGTGACTTTTAGCTCATCCCAGGAAGAAAGTCAGGCGGTAAGTCCCGTTGGCATGCGAGCCGATGTCTACATGGCCACCCTCTCCACCCATCGCCTTACTGTCGCGCCGAACAGCTTCACATAGCCACACAAGGACAGATGAAGGCCTCCTTTGAAGATGTGGTAGGTCATGATGGTGCCGTCGCTGTACGGGCAATCGCCGTACCTTCTTCTGCAATCCAATGCGTCCATTTTTCTAGCGCAATTCTTTAATTTCACTCTGGTGGGTTAACCAGCGTTCAAAGAGTATTTATAAGCAGGAAACATGGAAAACGGCGCGGTTGATAATGATGCTCGTCACTGTCTTCCAAGTTTATGGTAGGTTCTAATAAACCAAGCTAAACAAGCTTTTCAGTTTTCGCCATTAGCAAACAAATTGTGCTCAATATTGCACTTCACAGATCAAGAACGCTCCAACTGGTTTGAAATGAAAGAGAAATGAAATCTGTCAAATTTATCCCGAACACCCTGTATATCTCGATATTGAAGCTAAATGGACTTTATGAGTAAAAGAAAATAATTCGTGATCTGTCATTAACAGTGCGCTGGGCAGTGGGAACAACACTCGCTATATAAGTAAAAGCCTGTACAACGATAACGGTCAGCGTACCTGACCGATCCATCATCTTTTCAATGAGCCGTCACCTTGTCAGCACGTTTCCCTGCCGTGTCTCATAACACATATCGCTCAGCCCCGCCCCACACGATGGCTTGTAACGCGTCGCCCCAAGGAGGAGAGGGTGGTTGTTCCGCTCGTACGGTCCCGTCACCGATACGACGGGCGGGCCGCGGGCGTCGCAGCGGCGTACAAAACAGCGCTGCACCATGGGCGGTGGGGCCGCGTTCCGTCGCCGACACCACCGGCTGGCACGCCGGCGCGTCGTCTCATGCCACCGGGTCGCGTCACCGGGCCGCGCCCGGACCCTATCACGTTTCCTGGAGCCAAATGGTGAACGGGCCGGCCGCCGCCGCCGCCGCTGCTGCCGCCTCCGACAGGCCGCCGACGGCCGCCGCCGGCTGCCAGCTCGCGACGTGCCGGTCACGTGACCTGGCGCTGCTCCAGGCGGGCCGGTCAGGGCGCGCTGCGGCGGCGGCAGCGGCGGCGGCGGCGGCAGTGGCTCGTCAGCTCCCGTGCCGCTCCGGTCCCGTCTTTCCTTGAAGGTACGTGTCGGCGCCGCTCCAGTGCCGTCTCGGAGCGAAGGCTGCGTGTCCAGTGTGGTCCGGAGGTCCGCCGCCGCCGCTGCCCCGTTTCGTACCGTACCGGAGAGCGGCAGAAGAGCTGTGACCGCGCCGGACCCGCCCGTGTGCCGTCAGCCAGGAGCCCGGCGCCCCGGCCTGCACCTTCGTCAGCTGTGTGGACCAGAGCATGTCATGTACCCCGTCAAACACACCTCCAGTGGCGAGCCGCCCGCTTTACCCCTTGGTCTGCCGAAACGCTGAAACATAACAAAACAAAGAAACGTGCAGTGTCCAGCAGCATGCCCAGACGTGCCCGCTTCAACCTCGCCAAGTTTTCGGCTGCTTTGACTGTTATAAAAGCCAAGGCATATTAACTGTGGCTCTACCAAAGAATTGCCGCAAGAAGCATGATCGTATGCCCCGACACATCCCAGTTCTTGTTAAAATCAAAGAGAAACGATCTTCATTTCTTGAATGCTGAACCTTATTTAGAACAGCTCAATTACCATAAGTTCTAACATGTTTTTAGGGGATAATGTTTCAATGACAGTGATAGTTTAGGTTATAGGTCATGAAAGTTGTGATGACAATCACTCATAGATCTCTTGAAAACGCACGTTTTTAATTTACTTTGTTTTATAAACAATGAGCACTCTTAAGACGTTTATTGTTAATTGTTACCGGCATTCAGACACTTAACAGGTTAATCGCTATCATCTTAATATTTTTCCTTCGTAGTTTTACTAATTTTAGCAACGTTTGAGCATCATTTAGGTAGCGAACTCCACGCGGATGCGTTTGGTTTTACGGGTGGCAGAAGGTATGCTGTGCCGCACTACGCTAGTGTTGTGCGGGACAGCCTACCTCTACGTGGGAGCGCGCGGGCCCCTACGGCCTTGATCGGATGAAACCTGTGATATTTCAATCGAAATTGTTTTGAATACTGTAAATACTTTTGTTTGGCGGCGCATCAAATTGGTATCGTGCCACCATCTAATTGCAGTGCAATCATTACCCTCTAAAATTGTGTCGCTCTCGTTATGCTTTCACCACAGCACATTCTTTTCGCTTAATTAGAAATGTTTTGTTGTTTTGAAATCAAACCAAATTAATTATAAACTTGTATTCACCCCTACGCAGTGTGATGCACATGCAGATGCCAACGGTGCTCGTTTTCCGATGGGTCTCGACCCCGTGCATTGCTCCGGACGTGGGGCAGTGCCGCCGCCCCGGCTCGTGCCTACGACAGAGGGGACCGGCGCCGCCGGCACCGCCGCCGCCGCCGGGCCGCCGCGCTGCTATTGGCCGTTCGCCAGTGGTGACGCGTCATGCGGCCAAATATGGCGCTCCGGCGGCATCTAACGTTACCGGCGCGGCGACGCCGGCGCGCCGGCAGCTGGAGGCGGCGACCCGTGCGACGCTGTCGACACGGTCATTTGGCAAGGTGCCAGCTGACCTCTGTCGAGCCGGTGACACGGCGTGGTCACCCGCTAACAGCCCCCAGACAGCGCCCTCATGGGGTCGGCAGTGACCCCCAACGGCAAATATTTGGGGATGTGTCGGCGCAAGCACGCCAGCTTCGAAATGAAGGCCATGTTTTGTGTTGGGCTGAAATTGTGTCAACATGGGTAGTTGGAAGCTCGACATCATATCGTCAAATGGTTGACAGATATACAAACTAGGCGACCTCGAACTTCGAAGATACTTTAAATGAGATTGTATTTTTGTATCGGAATGCAAAGCATCTGTCTATTCCGGCAGTTTCAGTACACACAAAAAAGAGAAGTATTTTAGCAGAGCGGCTGACCAATAGTTATTGACCCACATCAAACATTGTTGAGCGAGGCCATGTGACCAATGGTGCACTGTAAGATAAAGCCAAGAAATTTGGCGAGTTAATTTGCACTCTCACGCCTGAGGACTGAGGTCATGACCCAGGGATTCCCACCCAAGGATACAGTACTATGATTTTTACTATTTTCGCTATCAAGGTGCGTAAAACCAATACATATAACTTCAGTGAGGAAGCTTCAGGAACCCAAAGTTGAAAATTATTACAGTATTTCATCATGCAGTCATTGGTCTGAGATTGCAGGCGATGCGACATTGCCCTTCCGTTAAATTTCGAAATGCTACAACTGAGAGGCTGCGGTTCCTTTTGCCCGCATCATAACATCTCTATCCGAAACAAGTCGGCTGCATAAGACCTTGCTGCGATGCTACCTCGTCAATGCTTGAGGTTTCGATAAACTCTGCCTAACAGCTTTTTGGGGGGAATTAAATAAAAACACTGGTTTCCTGACATTTTGTGATAAAAGCGACACTCATCTAATTATGGATATGTCCCATCTCTAACAGTGTGTCCATGTTGCAGGTCCCGCTCTCCAGACTTCCAAAATGTCCGACGAGGAGGAGTACAGGTACGTTCACAGTCCGGAGATGAGGATAGATTACAGTGGATGTGTTCACTTTTATAGCTAAATAGGCAGCAATTCTTTGAATCGTCCGTATTGTGCATGAATCGCTGAGTGCAAGCTACTTTAGCTCATTTTGATTTGGGGCGGGGGGTGATAGTGGTAGTCATGAAACCAAAAATTGGAGCGATGGGTTTTATCTTAGGTATTTTGCTCTAAATGTGGCGATTTATTTGGCTTGTCAAATGCGGCATGGCTTTGAGGAACTCAAAGTTATCCTTTCAAAATCGTTTCTAGCAATTAATAGTTTCACGCATTTCATCCAAAAGAACTGATTTTCAAACGACATAACGACATAAAAAAACATTTTTTAGCAGAGTTAAGTTCTTCGATATACCTGACTTCAACCGGAGATGTGAAAGCTCACTATGAGCAGAAATGTGCTGAAAATGTTCGATGCCGGGCAGCTAGGTTTGTCTCACTTTGGCTGCGCCCTGCTCTCTTCTAAGCCACTAGTAGTGGTCCCAGTCTGGGTCTACCGGCCTCAGTCCGTCACTATACCTGCCTCAGCTAATTCTATCGACATCAGACCGGCTCCACAGGCTGTATCGACCGGCATCAGCCAGTTTCTGTCGGCCATATCCTGCTATTTTTAGTCGAGTGATGTGCCAGCCACCGAATCATATTCAGGAAACAGAACCTTGCAGTCAATGTATGCACTATGCACGGCTCATCATCCTTCTCATCCTCCTGGATCAAAATCATTCATAATATTATTGTGACGAAAATGAGTGACGTTCTCGAATTGGTTTTCTTTCTTTGATACATTAAGTGCAAAGCAGGGAAATATTTTGGTGGATATTTCTTTCCGCTGCACATTTACGGGTGTTATAACCATCAGACCTTGCAAGGTCTGATGGTTATAATTCCATGGAATGTGGCCCAGGTCGTTTACTTATATGAACGATGCAAATTTCTGACCGACTTTTAAAAGAACCAATTTCACTGCTTGGAGGAATATAGTGAAAAGTGTGCTTATTTGTGTCGAACAAGGTTGCGAAAGCTATTCAGAAAAGTCTAAAAGCCAAAAGACCAAAATTTCAGATGCAGTAGCGGCCCAAATGGTCGAAGGCTTGCTGCAGCGGTCCCAAGAGATGGAACCTTCTGCCGGTGTCTGGCTCTGCCCACGCCGCGGACAGCTGGGTGATTATCCCGACCCAGTTATCAGTCCACAGCGTGGAAGGGAGAGAGAGGAGGAGAGGAGACAACGTGTCCCGGTGCACGGGCCCGCCTCTGACCTTGGCTGGCGCGCCGGCCGGCCGCCCGAGCTCCCTGCGAGCAGCCGCGACGGCCGGGAATGCCCGGCGGAGCCACAGAAATCCGAGCGGCCGACCCCCGAAATAGCTGCGCCGACCTGGTGACGGGTGCCAGCGACCGGCCGGTGCAGCACCTGTTCGGCCGGCCACTCTCCGCGCGAGCAGGGGCGCCGCAACCGGGTCACCGGCGCAGCACTGACCTGAGAGAGGCTATCGCAAAACGAGAGGATTCATCACGACCTGAGAGAGGTCGTCATCGCCAACTGAGCCGGGCAACAGCGACCCGAGCGGAGTCACAGCCATCTGAGTGATGACCACTCGAGCCAGGTCACTGTGACAAAAGCGATGGTCACCGCGGCCGGGGTAACGTCGCAGCGGCGATTGCTGCACCAGACTGGCATTGTGGAGAGGCAAAGTGCTTGCATAGTAACAGACTGGAGAAATTTCGGATGACAGCCGAAGATGTTATGTACTCAGAGCAGGCGGTAACTCAGATGGAGCTGATTCGGCGGGGTGAGGCGAGTCTTTCGAGTGCTCTTACGATGCTTAGAAAGAAATGCGTTGGTCTGCACCTAACTATTATAGCTCTAAAACCTTAGTGTGCGAAGCTCCCGAGCTCAAAGGGCCTTCGACCCATATCTTGAACGGAGCCTTTACGAGAAGGGAGGAAAGGCACAGCAGTGAATCCCAGAATGAACGAATCACGCAAAAGCAGATAGGAAGAGGGAGAGAGAGGAAGGGAAAGGGAAAGAGAAATGTAGGGGGAGCAGCAGGTCGCTGCTTCACTATTCCAGTGATAGCGGAATATGTTTATTTTCATGAGTGGCAAAAACTGCACCCACAAATCAACGGAAAATAAAAACATGCTTCTTTGTTCATTTACGTTTATCATATCCTAAAGATTCTGTTCGGCCTGCCTGATCTACTTATTTAATTCAGTTTCATTTAGTTTTTATTTTACCTAGAGGCATTGTGGTTAGAATCACAGAACACAAATCCCTTACCCCCTTATAGCGCACCCTGTACGTAGTAGAGGACCTGATTTCGGCGCTGTGTGGCCGCACTGCGGGCTGAGCTCCCATCTGTCTGTGACCAGTGGCTGTGTGTGTGGGGCGGGGCCGGTGGCTGTCGGTACAGTCGGTGACCGGGACTGTCTGTTTCTGGCAGTTCCGAGGAGGAGATGGATGAGGTAGGCGGCCGCTGCTGGCCCACTGGTGACAGTTTGTACCGCATGTCCCCGCTCTGCCCCTCCCTCCCCCCCCCAACTGTCATCAACGACCCTCGACGTCGCCAGCTTACATCGGGCCCTCGTGCAATGCGCTTTGTGTTTGGTATAGTGTTTGGTTTCGTTTTGCCGTCTAACACATCCTGCTGAAATTGGCCGTGTTGTAAGCTTTCGTGCGCAAAATTCCATTTTGCAATTGGTTGGTGGATAACTCATGAATAGACATAAACAGACACATACATTTCTTGTTATTGCTTTTACTTTTACTTGAACATGAGACCATTCAAACCCAACCTTTTTTGTTTTTATTTAATTAATTCATTTTTATATTTGCTTTGGCATCATTAAATACTGAGATCAAGGACCTGTACACCGTACACACAGTACACACATGGCATAATCTTACTTCTTCCAACACACAGCAACAACACAAACAATTCGCTAAACTCCATCCCATTTGTACATAAATACACCCCCTTAATGCTATATTTATTTGTTTGCTATTGATAACCGCTCAAAATATATTTCTTAATACAGGCGGTGTTCAGACAATCCGTTTAATTGTGTGCAGGCGTGGTTGTCAGTTGCGTTTCTATAACCAATAACTGAGTCGCCACATAACTCCGCGAATATCGCGAGGCGCCGTTGTGAGCATGTGTCAGACGCGTTCTAACACTGCTGTTTTCGTTCCAGCTCGGATGATGAGGAGTCTGGGGTATGATTATATGATATATTTACCCACCTGCACGCTGTCATACCTCTCATAGAATATAGCTGATAGATAGAATGTTACTATGTGCATTGCCATGTTCCCCTACCTAAGCTGATTCCCCGATATAGCGTGCGCAAGTCGTTTAGATCAAGTTATATTGCTGTGCTACATCAGAATAGCCTTCTTAGAGTCCACATTATTGTGCTGCGTTGGTAATGGTTCAAAGTACCTGATTGGCTCTGCATCAATTTCTGGGACATTGAAATCTCATCACATCCCGTGTAGTATCAAATACCATCATCATCACCATATGCCTTACGAAGGACCGGAACCTGTATGTGATCATTTTCCACGGAAGGTCATTAGGTGTTTGTGTAGCGCCGCCTTTTTCTAGCCGTGGTACCGCCATCAGTAGAGGGTAAGTGCGGCGTAGTGTGGTGGGTGAGATGTGCCGCTGCTGACCTCCACCCGTGCCGTCTGCTCCCGTGATTTCAGGCGCAGAGGGCCGCCGAGGCACGTAGGCGTTTACAGGCAGTAAGTGTGGCTTGCAGTGACTAACACATACCTGGACCTTGCGGGATAATTCAGAGAAAAATCGGATATATTTGCTGTTATTTATAAACCAGTTGGCAGAAGGGTGGAAAGATAATTTTTAAGAATGATAGCTAAAAGTCATTTTAAAGTAATCGGAGTTTTTCTGTGAACTAATGATAACTGTAATCGTTTTGCCCATGCTACCCAAATTCAAGTGAGCAATATGCAACTATCAAATTCAAAATGAAGGTGGATAAGATATTTTTCATCCATAGCCGTATGCATATATTTTACTATAAGAAATATATTGCCATGTAAACTCACAAGCCCATATCACCAGTTAAGTGCGAGTAACATCGATGTACTCTTCGTAAAGTTATCCACAGCTTCGATTATTCAAAAGAAATGGTATCCATAAGGTCCCAGTTCAGGTATGGTGAATGTCCCTTTAGTTTTTAGATTGTAGATCATGTAGCCTAGCAGCCTAGATGTATATTTCCTTGATTATTTTGCCCCTTAGTGTCGCTGACGTAGTATTACCTGTTGAACATCGTTGCGTTGTTCACGACGTAGATATAGTGCAGCTGTGTCAGTGTTTTTTCCCTCTCCCACGCTTTATACTGCTGTAAATGAAACGCTGCTCTGTCGTCTAGCACATGCCAGTTGACTTCGCAACTGTGTTCTGAATCAGACGTAGTCAGTGCTTAGCCGTGTGGAGTCGATTGCCTCTGGCTTCCCTGTATTGCTGAGTGCTAGTGATCGTAGTTCGTAGTTTCCGTGCCATATCTTTGTGTTTAGCGTAATTTGAGGTCTGTCTTGTGCAGTAAGGCAACGGCCATCTGTCCGAACTGTTCCCTTTGAGCGAATCCAGTTCAATTTACTGTCCAATGCACGATTAGTACCAGCCACCCCAAGCATGCTATCAGAGTATGTTAGTTGTTGATGTTCTGTACAAACTAACATCGTCCTCTCATTTGGACGTCTGTCGCATAAGAAGCAATGCTCTTCAGAGCCAAGTGACATTGAGTTGTCTCTGTCTTAGCATAACTTCATCATTATATATTTACTGGTCGTTTGCAGTCCGTTTTAAAATTAGATCTTTCTCGTGCAATCCCGACTGCTCACTAACTGTTTCTACAGAAAGATCTCTCTCTTTTCTTTCCTTTTATCGCGTATTGTCTGCATCGTTAGGTGATAGGTTGTGAAGTAGGTACGCTCAATTGCTCAATCCCTTATACATGACCCAGACAGTGCCATTTTCGTAACACCTTGCTGCTCGTGGGGTCCATAGGAGGAGAAGAAGAAGAGGGCCGAGGTCGACCGAAAGAAGGCTGAGGTCCGAAAGCGCCTCGAGGAGACCTCTCTTGCCAAGAAGGCCAAGAAGGGTTTCATGACCCCAGAGAGGAAGAAGAAACTCAGGGTAAGAAAGAAAACTTGAATTGCAACCGGATAACTTAATGATAGTGAAAGTGATTTAAAATTTTATTTTGATTGCTTTCTATGCTCATATCAAGCATATCAATAACACATAAAAGTATCGACGCTAATACAAAATATTCATTACATGAAGATAATATTGATGAGGTGCGACGGTTGAACAATGATAATGATCGATCACCTAGTGGCAGTCATCTTAGCCCGAATGCATCTTTGCGTTGTGCAGTTACTGCTGAGAAAGAAGGCCGCTGAGGAGCTGAAGAAGGAACAGGAGAGGAAAGCAGAGGAAAGGAGGAGGATCATCTCCCAGAGGTGTGGTCAGAAGAAAAACACAGACGGCGCCAATGAAGGTAAGAGGAGAAAACACGGCAACGGATAAATGACGAAATTTATGTGGAAATGAGAGAATCTGGCGTACCACATGTAGTGTAACTGTAGCCGGCTGGTTTTCATCGTTGAATTAGTTTGCGTTCGCAATTCCTATTGTGGGATTTAAGCCGGTGATTTATTTAATGCTTATGATAGACATGTAGGTAACAAAAATGTCCTAAACAAAAAGGGTTTATTTCATTTGTAATGACGATTTTCATACCAACGCCTAACATATAACAACAACAGATGCAACATCTCCTGCAATATGTGTAAATGCTTAGTGTGAATTCTCAAGACAAGACGATACATTACTTAAAATTAAGTGCAAAGATTTAATGATGACGAAACTTGTACATATAGCATGATAATCTTTTACAATGTAAAAAATAACGCCATGCTCCCTTTCTACTTCACTTCTACTAGATCTTGGGACTTGAACTTTAAATATCATTTTTGTCACGTTTAAACAAAACGAAAATACGTTCGGTAAAAATGGTACACGATATGTTTATTCTAATGCTTTGTGGTCGTGTAATTGGTATGATTACATGAACGTATATGATGATAAATGCTGTTGAAAGTTGAAACCCGTCTCCCACCCTTTGTATTTAGCTCAGAATGTAGCATACCTTACTGGTATGCTCGTAATAACAACAGTCTTGTCGCACCCTGAGAGTGATTCTTTAACTTTGCACGACAAATAGGTCTTTTTATTATGAACTTCCATTTGTTTTCACCTTTGCCTTGTATCTGCCTATTATCCGCGTCAGATATCGATTGTATCATCGTTGATGGTTATTCGCTGGCTATTAGTACTGGTTCATCGTTTTTCTCGCTGAGAAGTGGCCCTTCGCCTGTCATTAAAGTGCGCATCCTTTTACAAGTAGCACGTGCATGTGTGCTGTTTCTAGCCGACCTCGTGCAGATTTGCCAGGCGTACCAGCAGAAAATCGAGGAGCTCGAGGCTTCCAAGTGGGACCTTGAGCAGGAGGTGGAAGTCAAGGACGCTCAGGTCTGTGACCCTAACCCTCCCCCACCACTGCTGTCTCTAATCGACCCACCCTCCATTCTGCTCTTACTTCTTTTTCCAGATAATCGACGATTCTCCAGCGCTTACTATAGGGGATGTGATAGGTTAGGACTATTCGTCGCGGGATAATCATGTAACAGACTTGTCCCCTTCTTCCTTATAGCCGAGCTGCAGACGATTTGTAGAGAATATCACGAGCACATTGCCAGGCTGGAAGCCGACAAATATGATGTCGATTGGGGTGTTAAAATCAGAGACTATCAGGTAACTTTTTCCATAGCGCAGACGGCCTTGGTAGCTTTGAGTAGCTGATTGAGCAGTAGCACCTATGAGTTTCGAGCTACTGGTTGTGAGATCTGAGCATCGCCTACCCTATAGATATGATCCATCTGTGGTATATGACCTATTTAGCAGGTCTCATTTGTTCCAGGAAGAGCATGTCCAATCCCCAGCTTCGTAATTACTCCCCAATTAAAGGTCATGCTTGGTTGTATTCCGATATTTATTTCTAAACTTTTCAAAAATATCAGGCCATTGAATTGATACAATGAAAACAAGTGTGAGCAAAATTCGTTTATGAATGGGCGGCCCAACTGGGTAATTAGTTTGCACCTTGTAGCCTAGCTAAGCACGCGCATCTAAACATGTTTCAAAATGACCATTCCGTTTAATTGCACACCGTAGAATGGATCAATTTGATGCGGATAGTAGTTGATTGTCGGCAGCTAGAATCATTCAAACTGTTAAAGACACCGTCTGAGTGTCTTTTGACTCATTTAAACGTTTGGATTCAGCTTGCGTGAAAACGATTGTGGAACAATACATATATTATCCAACCTTAAGTTGTTTTGAATGCGTAGTGTATTTAGCTGAACATTGTCATTACACTGCATGACTTCCATCGTACCTTCCTTTCTAACTGTATCCGTTTTAACAACCACATACGATAAGTTTTTAGTCTCGCCTCCCAGTGGTTGGTGTGTGCAAACAAGAAATATCCCATTTTTTACACTGTAAAACTTTTTGCAAACATACTTAATAGCCCACTCTCGATTTCGTCATAGCCTATATAATGTTTTAGCCAGAACTCTAATTATTGGCGCAATCTTCATAAACATCAAACTTAAGTATGCAGATTTGTAGCTCCTTTCTAATGATCCGCTAACGTAGCTCTAGATCACTGAACGTTTCAAGATAATTATAAATTTGTGGCATTTAATACTGCCTTCCGTTGATCATGCTCATACAGTTGACCGTATTCATGCCATTTTCAGATCAACGAGCTTAACATCTCGGTGAATGACCTCCGCGGAAAATTGTAAGTCTCACCAAATTTACTTGCAAATTTTAACTTGTACATATAGTAAATTGTAAATTAGTAAAGTAATTTGTACTCACCAAATCGGCAGAATTGTGAATGTTAATCCATAACTTTGACACCAAGCATAAAAACGATGTCATGAAACTTCTATTTGACTGTATGCCTTCGATATTTTAGGCTCAATTTATCCGTATTGAGTAGAGATTCTAAGTCTGGCAAGCAGAGACCAATAGCCATTCTGACTCAGTCGGTTTCAAATGTAACAAGCACATCCTTCTGACATTGCTCCCTCCTCCAGCATCAAGCCCACCCTCAAGAAGATCTCCAAATACGAGAACAAGTTCGCCAAGCTCCAGAAGAAGGCGGCTGAGTTCAACTTCCGGAACCAGCTCAAGCAAGTCAAGAAGAAGGAGTTCACCCTTGACGACGAGGACAAGGACGTGAGTATAGATCCGGCGCCCGGCCCCCTCTGGACCACCGCCGTGAGGGCCGGTCCCACAGCTGCAGTGTGTTTGTCTGTCTGGGTGCGTTCCGGGGTGTGTCTGTGAGCGTCTGTGTAAACGTATGAGTGGTGAGTGCTCACGCCTGGACCCAAAGCGCTTCGTGTGCTGCAGCAATTTGCTCTCAAATAGGATGTTCTTAGCTTTTGAGGTAAGTTTTAACCAGTGGCAAAGGGAGACATTTTTGGCGAGTGAGTCATCAAAATTATCATCGGTGCGTAGCAACTATGTATTTTAGTATTGCACAGAATAAGCATGTTACATTCCGTTAATTGTTGTATTCATAGTGAATGTATTATGTACGTAGTTAATGATGTAAGGAGAATTAAGTATCACTTTGCATCAGAATTGTGAGATAGCAGATTCGAGTTATCGTGTTCAGTAGCCGTATCGTTGTTTGAACAGTAGTATGTGTAGTTTCAGTGTGATTTGAAATGCAGCCGTAGTCAAAGGGTTGGCCAGAGCCGGCCTTCGAGGCTACTAGTGCGATGCCCCTGGTCACGTCTGTGGTGATAAAGCCGCTAGGGGTGTGACGCTTGCTTGGCTGCGTGCTGGCCGCCGTGCCTCTGGCTCTCGGCCCGACCTGAGCCGGCCAGGAATAGCCTGCGGCGGCGGCGGGTCGGGCCGGCCGCCAGCGGGCCGCGCCGCTGCCCCGGCTGACGCACCGCCCGCCCGGCGCCCCTCCCCGTCTCTCTTCCAGAACAAGGGCAAAGAGAAGGCCGAGTGGCAGAAGAAGGCGTAATGTGTGTGTCTGCCTCTGTCTGTGTCCCACTCGCCCGGCCGGGGTCGTTCTCGGGGCTGCCATTGTGATTTGTTCGCGCGCCTGGTGAGCGGAGGGCGTCTCGCGGTGCTCCCGGTCGGCGGTCGGCGCCGCGCCCCGCTCCGCGGCTCCGCGCGCCCGGCGGCAGCCGGCCCGACCGCCGACCGGAGCGGGCGTCCCCGGCTGACCGGAGCGGGCAGGGGCCGCCGCCAGCGAGCCACCGCGGCCCGTCTGCCCCGCGCTCCTCTCATGTATATCAGTCACTGTTACACCATTCTGGCACGTTTCCGTACCGGAAGCGCAGCAAAACCGCGCTCGGAAATAAACGAAAAGTAACATCACACGCCGCGTAGTTTGTCCCAGCGGATAGAGTTCCACATGAGCCGTAGAGGCGAGCCATGACTGACTGAGGATATTGGCTGCCACAGGGAGGTAAGATCATAGCGCGTATTAAACTTTATCCGCATGACTGCCTCTTTGGCAGGCCCGATCTACGCCATTCAATGTATCGGCGCGCGCACATCCAGTGGGACAATCTCATCGTAACTCTTGTGTCGTCCGTCCTCTCTGTTTCTTTACTTTTTTCCTCTCCAAGCAAAGGTGTCACATTGTGTCGCCGACAGTCTGCTCCTTTTGTGACGGATATGTACCGACTGATTGACTGTGTCTGAGCTCCGTGCCTAGATTTGACTAGGATGTGACCGGCTCTTTCTCCACATTTGCTCTCCTTGCTTGGCCTCTGAACCCCGCTTTTCATCGCAGCGCTGCAGAGTAACCGTCTTATTCACAGGCACGGCTGGAGGAAAGGTGGGATGACCTGGTACTGCAAACTGCATGTGTTCATCTTTTCGCCTTTTGTTTCTTTTACGTAGATACTAAAGCTGCCGCTACAATGCGAAATCATTGTTTCACATAAGGAACAGGAAAATTAATGTGCTATCCTCAATTTAGATCTTAACGCTAATAACATAGATGAATAATGCAGCATACCTGCCGTTCAATGCCAACATCAAGCATGTCCAGTTTTAGTGTGGTTGCTAAGCAAAAATGTAAAGCCGTATCGAACACGATCTCAATCATTCATCCCTCCATCACTCGCTGTATGTGTCTCGACTGACATCTTGTGTTCAAATCTCTGACGGACCGCTGTGTTTTCAGTCTGGCAAGCCGGCGTGGGCACCAAAGCACGATGAGAAGAAGGTAGAGACTGCGGCGACCTAGGGCGGCCCGGTGGCGTCTCTCCCCCTGTGAAATCGACTGGTGTCCTGTGTAGATAGTCTGACGCTGGCAGCGCAGCGTATGTCACACTGTCCCGCATCCAACGCTGTTTTCCTGAGTGTTCGGTCATTTATTCTGCATCCACTTAGGACGGTGTAACGCCCTTTCATAGAAATAATCTGGCCATGCCCTTCCAATGCTGTTTGAGGTGGCAGTAGATCCGAACGCTGATGATGGTAGGCTCAAGCGTTTGATTTAGTGATGTCAATTACGGAAAATTGTGATACCGATACCATACCAAATACCAACAATAACCATAGGAAAATACCAAAACCGAACCGACTCTGGAAAATGAAGGAAATACCAACTTTTTACTAAATTCACAGCCTTCTTTTACATTAGTAACGATTCACAATACCGACAAAATACCAAAAACATTGGCCTTGAAATACCAAATACCAAGTTGGTATAGGTTTGGTATCGGTATACCAAAAAGTTGGTATTCGATTGACATCTCTACGAGTAGTTTGATTGCACCAGTAGAAAGTCAATTAGGGGCTGTGGGAGTTGTGAAAATGGGGGGGGGGTGATTAGATGTTTGTTCTGATGTCCGCAGTCTGTCCGGTTGGCCTGTAAAGATATACATGGACAACCATTGATCATTGGTCTATTGAGTGGCGTTAAGTGTCACTGTTGGATTTAGCGTGCACCATAGGGTGAAATCCTTAGTCCCGGCCATGACTTAGTTATAGCACTTAGCAGTAGTAATAGTCACTCCTAGCTTGATCGACCCAGACTCTAGACACATTAGTGGTGAGTATCCACTTTATTTGTTAGTGTAGTACTCGTATATTTAACATTCGTTTTGTATCCGATCATTCCCTACATGTTTCACCTCGAAAGACTCCAGTGACTAAGTTCGGTCAAACCTCACCTTTACTACCAAATGTGTAGCCCCAAGCTTTTGATATAATACTGTGCTTTGATTTCAAGTGCTGCTGTTTTGTATGGCCCTTTACATTCTCTGGCGCAGTGAAGCACCAGCCTGTTTTGACTTCTTACTTTTCCCTTTCTTACATTCATGTTTTGTGACACATATTTTAAGGTGATGCTTTGCATTTTTACCATAACGTCTTTGTTCCATCTCAATACTTTGAACTGAATTACATGATTGCCTTTCTATTAGCTGATTGTCCCCTTTTGCGAGCTTGATGATGCAGTAATGATTCATTCAGATTTGAGCATATATCACCTTTGGCCTCGGAACGCTCGGTGAAGTCCCAAAATGTCTGTCATGCATTGGCACCGGTGGTTAATATCTACAGGAACTTTTGTATGACACCTGCCACCGACCTCTGACCTGTCGCTGTGACCTACCGCTGACCTCTGCCCCAACGCTGTGCCACAGCCAGCCTCTGAGAAGGGCGAGGATGGCGAGGCGATCGACGACGCCCCTCCCGAAGGTCAGTCACCTCCGTCCCCGTCGACACCACCCCTGAAGCGCAAACGTGACGACTCGGACAGCGTCTAGCCCTGCTCGGTCCTAGAAAGTGGGCCTGCTTTAGGACGACCAATCAGAACTGCACGTTTTGAACTGCAATTATAACTTAATTCTGCTTAACTCGAGATAATTACGATTGGGACTCTTGTGATAATGGTTCAGGGTACTTTAATCCATTGACGCATAGAAGAATATGTTTCGGCCTGCAATCGACAGTCTGGCGATATCTAGCTACGCTGCTAGCATATTTAAAGTGCATTGCTGATTATCTGTCACTGTGACGTCCGTTTTCACCTGTCATTGGTGTCTGTGTGTCACCTCAGCTATCAACCTTATCAGCCTCGATAGTGTGTGACGGCCTCTGACCCCTATACCGACCGGCAGACCCGGGTGAGGAGGCGCCCCCCGCCAGTGAGGAGGCGCCCCCGGCCAGTGACGACGCGCCGCCGGAGGAGGTGGCTGTCGAGTGACGCTGCCGCTGCCGCCCACCCCGCTGCTCCGCTGTCCGCCCGCCTGTCCGTCTGCCGCCGCGAGCGCCGCGCCTCTCGCTCGCACGGTGCCGGGCCGCTGCAGCCGGGCACCGCGGCTCCGGCGGCCCGGCCGGCCGGCGCCGACGCGCGCGCGGCCACTCCAATTGTCACACATTTGTCGTCTGTGGGTACGTTTTCCAAGCGTGCGAGACGCTTGGCCACAGAGGTAGCGGCCGTTTCGCTTCGCTACGCTTCGTGAATAGTGGCGGTGCTTTATTTTGCCCGAAAGGCAAAGACAATAAAAGGAATCCTGTTTATAGACTGGCGTTTCATTGGTGACTGGGCGATAGTCTTTGGGTAAAAGAGCATTGACGAATTAATTCTGTCCTTTAGCCCTAAGGGCTGGCTTTGGGTAGATGTGGCCGATATTTTGAGCTTTTTTTCCCAAGGTATCTGTGATACATTAGAAAGTTGCATGCCCGGGGACTTCCGACCATGCAAGAACATACCTGGGACATTTGATTTGAACTGAAAAGCATGCGAAACTGTTCTTAGAATTGCCTTGGGAGAGCTTGTTCTGTCTCAAACACCATTTCGTAAATACCGTCGATTTATTGCTCGCAACTTAGGTCTAAAAACATTCACCATGCACCAATGTGGTAGGCTGGCATTATTATCATTAGTTCACTCATTCCGCTCCCGTACAATCAAGGAATAGGAAGCACACCTTTCATCGTCACCAGCCACTCTATCTTCGCTTTCTCACAATCATGGAAGCTCAAATTTTGCTACCACTATCACTTTTATCACTTAAGGATTAGGTAAATTACGAATTCACGCGACTGTTAACCGAGCAGCATCGCGGTAATCGTAAGTCTCACGCGCATTGTAGGTAACATTACATAGAACTGTAACATCACAAAAACACTGGTCTTCGACATCATATCTCAAACGGAACAGCCTGTAACGCACCGACCTCCAGCTAACTAAGTATATCGCTGTTCATTGCCTTGCTTACCACAATGCAAGACAGCGTAACGCTTCGAGCATCGTAACTCGCACAAACGAGCGTCTGCACTTCGCGCGTTCGCTCCTACACCCTAACACACACAAGCACAGCGATTTGCACAGTTCCTGAGCGGCTCAAGCCCACAAAAAAAAAACACACGTAGGGTGTAAATCCATCACTAGACTGCCTGCTACCTCCCAGCAGCCATTCTCTACCGCTGCTAAAGCTGAAGCAGAGTGGAATTCAGTTATGCAGCATGTCAATGAGCAGCGCTGGTGTGCCTGCAGACGAAGATACGCGAGCTCAGGACGGAAGATTCTGAACATTGGTCCATCATTTCATCGATTCAAAATGAAGACGGTATTCAACGGCTAACGCGCATTGCTCTTGCTCGCTCGCACAGTTCGGTAATATTGCCTGCATCATTCATCAAGCAGATAACAATTAGTCCCAAAACAGCCATTCGTCTGTCCATAAGACACCAGTGTCAGGTGAACTTGCGTCATCGAGCTTAGGCGCCTTGTGAATGCATGGGTCACTGAGCTTCTTAAAAAGCTGAAACTCTGCTTGAGGCTCATGATGAATAATAATAATATAAGAATAACCAGTAACCTCATAATATATCGCTGACGAAGCTCCAGGAGCGAAATATTCGATAACTTTAAATATAACCTTTTGGCTCCTATTTCTGATTTATATTATGAGGTTACTGGTTATTCTTATATTATTATTATTCACTGAGCTTACCGCAACAAATCGAAGTCCGTCATTACTACATAATTACATATATTATGGTCATGGACACGGCTTGTCAGATGACATTTCATCACTCGTACGCTACAAAACACACGCAATAACACAATATTTATCAGTTCTTGTAATGCATCGCTTGTCTTTCTCGGGCAGTTTACATTCCGTTTCTCGTTCTGGGCGACAGGATCCTTAGCCTGCTGCTCACCGAGCGATCGCATTGCTAGACGATAAAAACATTCTCGTCATCGTTTGAACGGTCAAAGACACCTCTTTAGCTCCTTAGCTCACCGATAGTCACCACAGTCTTTTCCAACAGTTCGGTGCTCTCATATTCTGGAATGTTAGCTGGATCAGTAAGAGGTATGTGACCATCACTCTATAAGTACTGATGACCCTGCTTCGTTGGCATCGACTCTCATCTTGGTCTCTCTCGGTACCAGATTTTCTCTGGCACAGCCGATCAAGAATCTCTCGACATCGAGACGGGTTCTTCCTCACCCGCGCTGCAGAGGGAGACACTCTCCTCTCCCCCTCTCTCCCTCTTCCTATCCTCTCACTCCTCCCTCTCACAGCTGCGAGGTGCGCCGCGTGTGCTCGTAACCATCATTGTCACACCCGCTCTCCTCCGACTCAGTGACAGTCCGCAGTCGACTCGGGTCCAGCGGCACAGCGGGGTCGGATATGGAGGCCAGCCGGGGCGCCGGGTCCACGCTGCTGGATCTCCGCTGCGCGTCCTGCGGAAGGTGCACGTCGGGTCACCGTCTAATGAAGTAGACCATAGAGCGGTTGGTTACCGTTACAACTTAAAAAAAACTCAGCACATCTGATGGCGGTATCAGGCTAAAAAAAAACTGTTCGTGACGCTTATGATGTGCTGGCGACTTAAAGTTGTTTATTATATCGCAGGGCCGTTGCAGCTGCATAAGTAAATGATTGATCTGAAGTGGAAAGAAATCGAATGCCTTTGAATTTTAGAAAAGTTTGGCATTACGATAATAACGTCATTACGCAGCTAGTTACCAGTAGTGACGGTAAATATAGACACGCAAAATCAGTCAATGAAACTTGGAGATTCACTGTAATTAACTTCGGCTGTGCACACACTGTACTAACCGTCTGGCCGGTGCCGATGGCGGCATCGGAGCCGAGGCGGGACAGACTGCTCTCCAGACGGCGGCGGAGCAGCGCCGCCTGCACCAAGATCGACTTCCGTCTCCCCAGACCCGGGTCGCCGCCGTAGCTGCTCGAAGACGACACCGTGCTCTGTGACTCGCTCTCCGAGGACGTGGTGCACTCCTTGATGACCACCGACTTGGAGACGGACTCCATCTGCTTCCGCATCATCTGAGGAAGAGCGAAAAGGTTGGTTGGTGTTATGCTATTCGGCGCAGTGTGGAGCTAACTAGGCGCCGGTACCTGGCGCCATCTGTGGATAAGATAGACTGTTACGCATTGCGGCACAGCATAGACGCAGGCGCTTTACACTAGCGCCATCTATGCACTGGACTGGGTATTACGCATTGCGGCACAGCATCGTATAGGCGCTCTATACCAGCGCCATCTATGAATGAGTTTTACTTATTGCGGTACAGTATAGATACAGGCGTCCGTTCTCAGCGCCATCTATGGATAATTTTGTCGCATGCAATGCGGTACAGTATAGATGCAGGCGCTTTACACTGGCGCGATCTATGGATAAGTTTGGTGCATGCATTGCGGTACAGCATAGACGCAGGCGCTCATTACCAGTGTCAGAGTCATCTGGCGCGAGAAGTATGTGCATTAAACGCGCCTTCATCCAACTTCCCCCCCCCCCCCCCACGGCCCACACACACACACACGCACGCAGACCCACTGACCAGTCTGCGCTGCAGCGCCTTGCGCAGCTCCCCCATCACACACACACACACACATACACACACACACAGTCACAGATACTGACCAGTCTGCGCTGCAGCGCCTTGCGCAGCTCCTCCTGCTGCCGGAGCACGTCGCTGGCCTCGGCGTCCTTGGCGCTGGGGTGCAGGTAGAAGCCGTGCGGGATGCCACCGTACATCTCCGGCTTCAGGATCGAGTCCACGTGCACCATCAGGATGGGCTCGGGGGCGACGAAGGTGACGCCGTAGGTCTCCCAGCGGTGCTGCTCCTTGGCAGGGCCCCAGCTGGCGTCCGGCTGCCACAGAGAGGTCTGCCAGAGTGGGAATATACGGATAAAAGATGGTGCTAATCGTTACTGGTGAAGGGATGAACAAATAGAGTCAAAATGAATTGCCACTTTTATAGATTGAAAAATGTTTACTGTAAGAAGGCATACGCTGTTCTTGACTAGTTTTGCAATATGCGCTTTTCCGAAGTGCATATCTTATAGGTAGTACATGCACTTTGTTACAATAGTTTGTCAACGTAATTGTTTCGCAAAATTGCTATCATTGAATCCCATCTCTCCATCGATGTTGTCATTTCGACTTCGAACCGATATTCCCATTATACTCGTCACAGATAACAGTAGTACAGTACTAGTACTACAGTACTAGTACAGTACTAACAGTACTACTGTTATCTGTGTACTCGTATATCCGCCCCATACCTGTCCATTTTTGAGTGGCCGGATGGCGTCCAGGGTAAGGAGTATGAACGCCACCAGGAGGGGCGCCATCCCCACCAGACCCGCCACCACGTTCACCCAGAGAGGCAGCGTGTCGCCGCCGTACCGCGGCACCGCGTAGTCGGCTATACCAAACACTAGCAGTATCTGTGGGTGGGAGAGAGGGAGGGAGTCAGAGAGAGAGAGAGAGAGAGAGAGAGAGAGAGAGAGAGAGAGAGAGAGAGAGAGAGAGAGAGAGAGAGAGAGAGAGAGAGAGAGAGGGATGGAGGAGATTAGCAATGATAAACAAAAAGACAGATATCGCGTGCAAGAAATAATGATTCAATGTTTTATTTCTTTTAAAAAAATGTAATGAGTCGGAGCAATTTCAATTAACAAAATTCCCCGCTTTTACGAAAGGGTTCGCATTACCTTCGCTCGTGTATAATCACATGAGCCAAAGCTAATCTTCTTAGCACATTCAGACATAAAACTAGCTCACCATATGCACTACTGGGATGACGAATTTCCAGCAGTATGTCCACCAGACTGACGGGCCGTTTCCCAGCATGACCTCCATGTTCCCAGCCCACCTCTGTACGCCGTATACCCAGCAGAGCGCGATACTCTCTACCGCTCCGACCAGCAGCGGGCCCCAGGTCAGCAGGTGCCGGTCCAGAGCGCAGATCAGGTCCACGCCGTGCTGAAAGGGCGACAGAAATACACAGGTCAAGGTTAGAACGTCCAACCATTTCATATATATTCGATGATGTGGAAAGGAAATATGTAAAAACCGCTTAAGCATTTTTTAACCATCAGCAGTATTCCACGTCCGCAAAAATATCTCCTTTCCATCCTCAAAACGCATACACCACCGCCCCAATCCAACTTACCGACCCGACCAGTGCCAGTCCGGCTCCCATCATCAGAAGGCAGCAGCCGATCACCACTTGGAGCCGCTTCCTGCGCCAGCGATCGAAGCGCAGCTCGAACGGAGCGCGCAGCACCGGCTCCACCCAGAAGCAGAGGTAGTGGTGGCCGATGACGGCCAGGAGCAGGAAGAACAGTGCCGACCAGAAGGGCGGCGCCGGCAGCAGCAGCATCGCCTGGCTGGCCACCACCATCAGCAGCTCCGGGCCTGGCCACAGCAGCAGAGGGGTAGGGAGTTATTGTCGTAATACGAAGAAATTGAATAGCTCCTTCAGTACACCAACATACTAAATAGAGCTGAGAGTTAAGCGGTGCATTGATGAATGGCTAGACACATGAATTTATGAATTCTTTCTCAATCCTAGCTTTCATTTGACATCCAATCCTAGACGATAAAGCTTAAAGCAATATAGAAATATCTAACGCACCATTTTGGATGACATCGGCGACATCCTCGTCCAGTCGCTGGGCCAGGAAGCCCAGTATGATAAAGGCCGCCAGGGTGATCACCACCGCCGCCACCATCTTGATGGTGAAGATGACCAGCATGTCTCTGCGCAGGTTGTGCCTGAAGCGGTGCCGGCTGCCGAAGCAGATCACGCTGCCTGTGCAGACGCCGAACGAGAGCACCAGCTGCCCGAACGCGTCCAGCCAGATCTGAGGGGGTGGTGGGATGAGCGGGATGTGAGGGGTGATGTGGAGCATTGAGATGTAATGGGATGAGGCGTAAGATGAGAGGAGACGAAAAGAGACGTGCCGAGACGGAAGAAGATGAAATAGCATGGGACGTGATCGGACGGGGCGGGACAGGACGAATGGGAACGCGACGAGAGCGGAACGAAAAGGGACGGAACAGAAGGGATGGAACATGTCACTAAAAGGAAAGAGGTTAAACGGGACGGGACTGTTAGAGTTTGGAACGGAATGGAACTGGGCGTGCTTTGTCTGAACAGGTGTGAATCTAATGATATCGATAAGAGTGAGCGAGACGGGACAGGAGAGTGTTAAAGTTGGAGGCCAGTCGGAGACGAAACGAACATAAGCGGAACCAGCGACAACTTTGCTAAACTGCGGCAAGTTCTCATGCTAGGCAGTGGCGTGCGAGACGGTGACAGTCATACTGACTGTCGATTACATAGAGACGTTATCTGATGCATCTGAACAGCCTATTGATCCTTGAACAATAAATATCAGTCGGTTAATCCCATAATCAGTTCATATCTCGTTGAGTGTATCCCGACTCGTTCATCATTCGATCATTTGAACCCATGACGTGAGACCACTTGCGTAACAATGTTACCACCTTCCCAGTGATCAATGATCATGAAAATACCGCTGACCTCTGAGTGTCCGAGGCAGTCCCAGGAGAAGCTGAACAGGTAGCTGAGGCCGCGGTAGGCGCCGTCACCCTCCTCCAGCACGCCCACAGAGATGATGACCACCACGAACACAGCCAGCAGGGCGGTCAGCGTGTTCAGGACCTGGGGACGCCGGTTCATCTCAGTGGTTGTCCGGGGAGGTGCAATGGCGATGAGAGGCACGTATATGAAAAGGGCGTAACTAAATTGGCGAGAAAAACTGTTGCTTTACAAAATGAACACTTGAAGCGTGGAAATAATGCATGTGTTTGCCTAGTATGCGTCCGAATATCCACTTAAGGTATGTTAAAGCCAATTAATGTGTTTCTGTGGCAAACGGCACGCTTGTTAGAAAATAAATCACTGCTTCCATTCCGCTATCTTTAAATAAGATAATTTTATCATAAAGAGCCAACAAACATATATCTACGGTAGGGCGCCCACCTTCGATTTGTAGTTGACTTTGCGTGTGAACGAGAAACAGATAAAACACCAGATAACCAGTAGACAGAGAACAAGGCGCCAGTTGTGATAACAGATCTCGTCTTCAGGACAGGCGCGGTCGGCCACGTCGTACCTGAAAAAAAAAAACGTATCAAATATCATCGAGCTATACCATAAATCAAATCATTTGACGATAAACTCCGACAGCTTACTTTGCCGTCTTTTAACGTACCTTTTGTGCACCAATGACAACTAATTTCATCATATTCATCTCAATCATCCTTTGCTGGTTCATCTACATTAGTTAATTGCTCCATTCTTGCGTTTTTAAAGGTAGTGTGCCACCTTTGAAAGATTTCCCGTTTTATTTTTCCTAGGATAAGAAGCTTCTGTTTTTACCTAATATCGCAAAAAAAATCAAAAATGGGCCTGGAATAGTGCCTTTTTCGCCTAAAAGTTTATCGGTTTTTAGATATGTATAACAACTGTAGTGGGCTCACCTGCAAACAGGCGTCGGGCAACAATCGCGAATGCGGCGCACTTGTGACAATAAGCAAAGGTCATTATAGTGTTACGACCATACGACGTACGGGAATGAGTTATCAGCTGTCTAATCGTAGACAACACAATGTCGAGCCTTAAACTGTAAGCCTGTATTGGTATTGTTTCTTAAATTTGGCTGTCGAACATTAATTTGTGGTTTGAAATATGATTTTATGTAAAATAATTGATATGAAACAGCGTCTCTTAACCCGCGCCCCGCTGGGGGGGGGGGGCAGAATCTGCCCCCCCTCCCGTTTTTCGCCAATAACTTTTAAACGCGTTACGCCAGCGACGTCAAACTTTCAGTACCTTATCATACATCAATTTGACACGTTCCCTGAAAATTTGAGCGAAATCCGTCGGAAAATTTTTGAGAAATTGACGTTTTAGTGACGTCATGTTCGCCATTTTCGCCTCAAAAACGGCAAAATTTCAAACGCCGCTAACATCTTCATTTTTAAAGGAATCAAGACGTAACAAAAAAGGTTATACGTGATTCTTCTTTGTCTATCAAATGGCTATCTCGTTTTTTTGGAAATTTTGGATTTTGGCCAAAATTTTTCCAAAAAACTGACTTTTTTGCGAAAATATTTATAAAATCCAAAATTTTGAGTTGATCGAAAAAACCGGAATATATGTCAAAGAAGTGGTCTATGTGCACCTACATACCGATTTTTAGAAGAATCAGTTCAAAAATGTGGGAGTTATTCAAAATTTTATGACGTTACGACGCACAAATTTTTTGAAAAATGATTTTTTTGGAAGTTCTGGACCTCGTACGGAAACAAAAATAGCACCATTCGATTCGCCGTGAAAAACTGCATCGGATAGACACCTTTTTAGGCCTTAACAACCAACTTCAAAATTTGACCTCACTTGACCTGACCTTGACCTGACCTCGACCTGAAATTCATCCAGAGGTGGTCCATATCACTTATTGAGTGTGCCTATTGAATTCCATGCGTAAAATGACCCATAAAACATGTGTCGCACATGCCCTTTTCTATATTTTGTTTTTGGTGACCTGACCTGACCTGACCTGACCTTGACCTTGACCTTTGAATGACATTGTGTGCAACGAATATTGTCTTGGTAGTCTAAGAACACGTTTTGGGCAATCAGTCTCAGTCCATTCTTCGGCAACTACGGTGCAAGGCCGATACTGTAGAAACTTGCATTTTGTACCCTTGACCTGACCTTGACCTGACCTCTGACCTACTTAAGCAAAAAAATTTTGGCTGTTAAGATCCGCCTTGTTGAGAGCTTTCGATTGCCGTTTTCCCCGTCTTTCTACGACCATCGGTTCGGAAGTTAGACAGGGGGGGGCAGAATCTGCCCCCCCCAGCAGGGCGCGTATGGCTGAATAGCCCAGCGGGGCGCGGGTTAAGTTATGACCCCATTACACCACACGCAAGTGGCAGAAATGACAATGATCAGCTGACGCATTTTTCTTGGCCGAAGTCAGAGCGCGCGGCCCGACGCACCACGCGTATTTGGAAATTCCGACCTCGACGAGCATCAGAAGCCACCTAACAGGCGTGTTCGAAACCGCAGGAGATGATGATGAACGGGTTTATCGAAACTTGATTGGATGAGCCTATCGGTAATAGCGATTTTAGTGTGTGCATTTATTGTTCATAGTGGTGTGAAATGTGGTTGGGGTACGACCGACAACCCGTCGGGGCGAATTTCGCACTGGGGTACTCAAAATTTGAAGAATTTAAGACGTTTCCATAAGTTTTGAAGGTATGGATAAGTTCTAAAAATCCGGTTCTCCTTATCCGGGTCATTAACTCCATATGGTCCAAGAAAGCTGGCACACTACCTTTAAGCAACAAATAGAACGGTGGTGATATCTAAGTCAGCCCTCTCTGCCGGAGTGTGCTGCGATTTAAAAAAGCCATCTTCACGAATCTAAGAAGCATGCTTAGCTGCTTACACCTTATGTTTCAACAGAAGAGCAAAAAATGTGTGTTTGTGCTTTTATGTAAATATATGTATGTGTTTGCACAGCTGTGTTTCAATCACCTCCGCCGCGAAAATACTTTCGCCTGATAACGGCACGAAGGTGGCATGCCAGGCAGTCGTGGCGTAACAATGGGACCCACAATCGACACCGATAGTGGCTGAGAGGTGCTTCAGATCCAACAAATGCCGACTTTACTCCCCACTTGGCACAGGCTCCCTGGTCAGGTCTATCACTACCACCTGTGTTCTGAGGACCGTGCGAGGCGGGTGTGGCGCTCTGAGCGACAAATGCGACGCTGCACTTCAGCAGGCTGCTTGGTTCGATAGCCACGACGTGACGCGTACCCAGTTTTAGCACGCAATCATTCGGAGTCATGGGGTGTCAGCATCAGTAAATGTGTTTGCTGAAACTCTTGATAGTTGATACAGTTAAATGATGCATTGTGATCGGACAATTGTGAGATAGTTGAAGGTACCTTTTAAACCTGCGACAATATTGAGCAAGTGTGCAGCTTTATTGTGTTATCTCACGGTGGATATCTCCGCTGATTGCAAGCGTTGGCGTTCGTACCAAAAGAAGGCCTCGGAAGAGACGATCAGTTGCGCCGGGTAGCTGGCCAAAGTCGCTGAGATGCCTGTGAGGCCCCCGGAGGCGCCTTCCGCAGCCGCTGATAGCACCGTAATGTTGCCATCTACGATAATCTTATCTGAAACATCGCCACCAATAGGTATCGGTCCTTCGATGGACAGATGACCTGTCGGGTCCGACGGTACTACATTGGGGAGAGAGGACGTAGGACAGATGTATGGGCAGAGGGGCAGACGGTGAGCAGACAAAGGCAGAAGACGAAGGATAGACGGAGCCAGCGGATGAAAGACAGACGGATAAAGACAACATGGAAGATAGACGGCTATAGACGGAAGATAGACAGACATAGACGGGAGACATATGGATATGGACGGATAGCCGACGGATAAAGACGAAGGACTAAGGAGACGGAGAGCAGGTGAAAGACAGACGGGTAAGACGGAAGACAGGTGGATATAGACGGAATACAGCCGTAAATAGACGGAATATTAATGTACACGGAAGACAGACGTAAATGGACGGAAGACCGATGGATGTAGACGGAGACAGACATATGCAAGCGGAGGATAGGCGAAATGTAGGCGGAGGACAAAATGACAAACTCAGAACGGACGGAGAACGAGCAAGGCATAGACGGAATACGAACGGGAGATAGAAGACGTCATGGACCGGCAGAAAATCACTAGCCGGCAAACATTGATGAACAGTACAATAACTATAAGCAAGCATCATCATTATATCATCATTATAGCAATCATCAACTTGAATTGACGTGCAAAAACCATTGTTTCATCGCAAAGCATGAACTGACTAATGCTCCGTAATCTACCTCCGTGGTTAGTCGTCAAAATGGATTACTCACTTCTCATCAGGATGGCAGTACCAGTCTAGTTTTGCCTAGTCCCAGTTTGTACATACCATGGTACCAAGTGGGCAGAAATGATAAGGTTCCATGCGCTTAGGATTACTCATTGATATATGAAAATCAATGGAAGATGTAAGTAGTAACTGGAAGATATATGTACCTGTTACTGTAATGAAGAATGTAAAGCTAGACTCTACCCATTATACGCAATTAAAAGACTCGTTAAAATAGTTGTGCAGTTAACTGATTGCTTCAACTGTCAACAGAAACTAATGACGACTATGATTTGTTCGTTTATCTAAGTTCGATCCTCACTGTGAAATATGTAAGCAAAATGTATAGAGTAGCTTCATCCATTCATGCATTTATTCATCCATAAATAAACATTGTCTTACCAGTATAAACTTCGGTGCAGTTTTCAATGTGCCACTCCGGCTTGCACCTCTGCCACGGCACCTCTTTATTCATGGACGAGAACAGGTAAAGCATGGACCACGCTACCACCACACTGCCGTAGACGGCGATCAGAAACGACAGCAGCACCATCGCGAAACCGAACCCTGCAGAAGGACAGCGAGCACTCGACGTTAGTCACACCGATAACGTCTGGTGGTCATCGTTAGAACAGTCCACGGTCAATATGCATTTAACCACTTATCTGCACAGATGTCAGTAGATCTAGGTCAACCGCTGTACGGTTCCGTTCACACCGTGAGATTTATCGTGGTCAAGCAGTGCTGGGCTGAACAGTGGGCAGCAGCGGCCGGCCTTGTGCGACATTGATAAAGCTATCAATTCACAATGGACCCCTCGCTTGCAACGGTGTGGACGGCGACTGCCTGAACCCTGACCAATAGCCTTGCTGTAAACGGTGAAAGTAGCCATGAACTCCTCTGCGCTATGCAAAATTAGTTTATTGTTATAAAGTATATCATAGAAAGTGAATGTTCAACATCACAACATGTATTTGGTTGACTGTACACTGCAATGACTTCAAAAGTGGACATAAATAATCTCTCTGATAATAGTTGGATCGTTGCACACACTCCTTGTCTTATTGCATGACACTAAACCACTCACCAAACCAGAAGTTTCCCTCTTCCCACCCCCACCCCCACCCCACCCCCCCACCCCCACCTCGCTAAATCGACCTTCATTGCACTTCCAGACCAATCGGGCCGTTTCAAATGGGCATTCTTGATGCTTTAAACAATTACTCCCAAGATTAAACCTAATATATTGAGTGAGTCTCAGACGTTTTTGGTTTAAGATGGCTTAGACAGCTTTAGACGAAACATTCTGGGACTGTTTTCGTCCTCCGTGGTCTAAACCCAGCCAGCAATTTTGCTCCGGGCCCAAGCAGGCTCAAGTGCGGATTGCCCGAGATTTTTAGTCGGGCTAAAGTCGGCTAGGGCTTGGGCTAAAGTCGGCGTATGACACAGAAACGCCGACTAAAGCCCATGCTCTGCCGGAGGTATGCCCGCTCTGCGAGCTCCGGGCAGCCGTAGTTTAGCCCTAGTTGAGCGACGATTGGCGTTAGCCCGATTTAAGCCCGAGCAGTGAATCCATTTATATAATGGAGATTACTCTGGGCCCGAGCGGGCTGAACTCCGGCAAGCCCACTCTGTGTGCCCTGTCTATCCCGACTTAAGCCATAGAAGTGAATGGGGTTTATACATTGCAAACTGCTGTGGCTTTGCTCGGGTTCGGCTCGAGTGACGGCTCCTGTTTTCTCAAGTCTCGACTTGACTTCATCTTGCTTTTGCTTCACACTGGATCAAGTAGCAAGGAGCAGCCAATGCACTTTCAGCAGGTTGTGTGGTTTTAATGCATATTTAAAATTGCTACGGTCACTCATATGCTCTGTTAACCGGTCATCGAGCATTGCGAAAGGAAAGTAGTGGTTGACTTTGATTTAATGTTTATTTCAAACGACTACAGACACGTCAAATGAAACACAAATACATGAAACAGTGGACTGCAAACTGCAGCCAAGGCCATCTATAGAAGGTACAGTCACTCCCCCGCCGACCAATCAGAGACAGATCCTGAGTGACGTCACCCCTGATGCTCGAAAGGGGTACTCCATTCCTTTACAACGTAAAAATGACTAACTTCATTTGAAGATTGTTGGTGACACTCTACACATATCGCTCAATTATTGATGTCGTTGAAAAGTCCAGCTAATTTTCTAGCGATAAAAAAGAGCAGCAATATGCTAAGAAATGGCCGGTTTTGAAGATATGGACGATTTAAAAACCCTCTGCAGCAGCAGGAAAGCAACGTAAAAACGCATCGTGCTTATATTTTTACTATGAATAAATCATTTTTCAGTAAGTTTTTAGATATGGTATCGATTTATTCAACAACTTTATTACAATATTTTTATTACTTTGAACTTTATTTCAAAATAATATTTTCAAAAATGGCAACTGTTGGCAAGTAGCTTTGAAGCATTTGTGGCGCGCCGCGCCATTATTGTCCTGAGGCCCCCATATGATGTCATCAAAAGTGGAGTGACATGGGCCTGACTGCAGCAATAATATGGCATGAGTCATGAAAACGCGCCATCAAAACTATAAATCAATCACAAGACCCGCTAGCCTTCCTCCCCGTTCGGCGTTCATAATACTTGGTTGAACACTTAACCGAAAGCATAAAGTAAGGACAGCAAGTAATCGCTCATAAGACATAAAGCAATTAGCAAACAATCGTTTATAAAGAACTTCACTCTGGTGAATGGGAGCTTTGGAGGCGTCTGGCTCCTCCACACACACGCAGTAGGTGGTCGGCCAGCTTTCGGCGCAGTTTCCGTATATGTAGGTATACCTACTTAATTATAAGCAGGCAGTTTCCGCTAAACCACTTGGCGAGGGCGACAGCGGCGTCCACCCGGTCCTGGTTTGTATAACTATTCCATTTTTTGGAACCATTTGCTCTAATGGTACGTACCTGAAAAAGAGATCAATTGGTTTAATTTACATTGCATGTTTGCTCGAAAAATAACTTATTGTTGCATTAATACTGTAACAGCACTTCTCATTGATCCGTATAAAATGTTCATTCGAATTTTTCAACGCGGACAGAGAATGAGCGTGCTCGGTGAAAGCAGATAAATATTTGTGTTTTGTATTTCGTTTTCCTGGTTCAGAAGTGCTGGTATTTCACAAAGATATACATAAAGGCACGGAATGCGGCTTTTCTGAGCGAGGGTATAAGTCGCCAGGCTGAACAGCTATTCAGCTTCATGTTTGATGGCGTGAAACTCAGTCAAAATAATGACGTTTACATACGATCAAGCGCACCATTCAATACAATTACCTACCGTAAAACTCCATGCCAGTCCACTTGATAAGAGCAATGAGCACTATCCCTTCTTCGCGCTGTCACACGCGCCCAAACATCAACCACCAAATGCCCCAACACCGGTGTGTCGTTTCGTCGCACAGCGCGCAGACTGTCACAAACGCTGCACATGATTGGCGCAGAACTGCGCATGCGCGAACAGCCGAACAAGTATGGCTAAACTCCGGCTTTACTCCAGTTAGCCGAAGGACACAGCCAGCTTGATCAGCCCGCGCTCCGCCCAAGTTAAGCCTGTTTTGGATGCGCGGGCAGATGTCGGGCTGAGCTACTGCTATCCGCACGTGGGCATAGCTGCGGCATGCCCAAGCTCAGCCCTAGTAAAAAATGCATTGGTTTTGATCAAAGTGGGCAAACCCAAGCTAAGCCTAAGCTGCCCGACGTTTGCCACAGTTCAGCCCAAGTGAATTGCTGGCTGGGAAAGAGCCAGGAGTTAATCACTCAAGCGATTTTTGACCGTCATGCCTAGCATTCGAAATGTTATTGATATGCTAATGCAGCAATAACGTTAACAAAATATATATAATCGTATATGCGATGATTAAGTGACAGAAAAATACAACAAATAAATGCGGTATATATGTACTCACCAGCAAAGATGGGCGCGAACTTCCAGACGTGAATAGCGCTTCGACTGGAAAACTGTCCGAGAGCGAACTCCATGTAGAATGCCGGCAGTCCGATCAGTATTGTGAGGAACAGGTACACAACAAAGAAACTCACTGAGGGACCAGAAGCAGAGGGGACGGCAGAGTTAAAGATTGTCTCGTGACCACCTACGTTTCACTGCTTATCGCCCACCTGCGTTTATACGCAGCAGGTAAGTCAGAAGACCGTATCTGTTTGTATTCTCCGTTCTATTTGAGTAACTAATTTAAAATAATACGAACTAAAGAAATGATGATGCAAGATTTATAAAAAAGGACCAAAAAACGGTCCGTAGCGGTCGGATGTATGCGGGGCATGCGGCATTAAGTCACGATCCACACACCTCTGCCATATCGATAATACATGGCGATACATAAAACCGTTCCGTTCAGGACCAGAGAATGCATTGAACGACACGAAAACGGCGTCAAAAGGCCGCCTACCGGTCACGGCGAACCGAACACAATGGCATTGTGGCGGCCACGACCGCCGGTGGCGCGTGGAGTTCTGACTCACCGACCCGCACCTCCCACGGACAGACAGACAGACATACAGACACCGCTGGGGTAGTGACAGGGTGGAGTCGGCAAGGCAGCAGCACCTTTTGAATGACGACCGTGGTAATTCCGCGCCGAATTGTTGAGAGGGCGATAGAAATAGGGAGGCCAGAGGGATATCCCGCAGGAGTATATTGAATTGCATGCCGTTCGATCATTAACCCTCGCCCCGTTGGGGGGGCCATTTTGGCCCCCCCCCCCTGTGGTTTTTCCTGAATAGCAAGAAAACGGCGGCGCGCAGCGCCGCTAAATTTTCAGTACCTTCCCGGGCATCAATTTGACACCTTCACACCAAATTTCAAGTCTTAGGTCACCTTAGGTCAGGAGTTATTGAGGTCAAACTGAGGTCATGTTCGAGCAAAAATGAGCAAAAAACATGCAATCTTGAAACGCTCACCAAATCTACAGTTATCAAGCAATTTCAAAGTTCTTTATATGGTCTAGTAGACAAAAAGCGGCGCTACAAAACTGCTATCTCGGATTTTCAAAATTTTTGGTTTTTGACCAAAAAAAATTCAAAAAATTGATTTTTTTAGAAAAACTTTGAAAAAATCCAAAAATTTTCCGAATTTCGAAAAAAACCGGAATATATGTGATAGTCCCAGTGCTCTTCCATATACATACCAAATTTCAGATCGATATTTCGATTTTTGGCCAAGTTATAGCGAAAAAACTGTTCAAAAATGATGACGTCAAATTTTTGAACTCAATTTTTAGCAATTCTAGACCACGTACAGCAAAACAAAGACCACCATTGAACTCCCCGTGACGAGTTGCATCGATTCGATACCCATTTTATGCAAAAATATTAACTTTGAAATTTGACCTAATTTGACCTGACCTTGACCTGACCTTGACCTGACCTTGACCAAAACGTGATCTAAGCTGGCCCCAAAGGCTGCCTGACCCATATAATCGCATTTGTCATGTAAAATGGACCATAAAACATGTATAACACGACACTTTCATATTGTGACCCCCCCGTGACCTGACCTCTGTGACCTGACCTGGTATCAGTGACCTCAGATAGCAAAATATGTGTTTGAAGAACATTTCCCCATCGATGATTTTCAATGAAATGCATTTTACTCGATTTTACAACGCATTTCTTGAAGTGCCTGTAAACGGTGAAAATTGGACCTTTGACCTGACCTGTGACGTCATCGGTTTGACCTAGGTCAATAAAATTGGGTCACAAGGTAGCTCCCCGTTGGGGCTATCCAACGCCGTTTACCGCTTGTCGCTATGTTGCGTGGTTCTCGAGATCTTAGGGGGGGGGGGCCAAAATGCCCCCCCCCCCAACCGGGCGCGTTGCTCGGCAGAGCCCAACGGGGCGCGGGTTAATTAATTACCGTAGCATCCTCGTCGTTAAATATAGCCACCGGAACCACCGTGCAGGACATTTTCCCGCGGGCACTCACCGCCGTACTTGTGACACATGTAAGGCATCCTCCAGAGCGTGGCCAGGTCTGTAGCGATGCCGAGTCGCGATAGGACTGACGTCAGCCGGCACACGTCACTGCTGTCCATGACGTCTTCCTCGCTGGCGTCAGTCTCGTCACTGCCGTCATCAGAGCCGGCATCAGTGGACCTCTGCGGGGACGGGGGGACGGGGGGGTTACCGTCCGGATGTGGGTACAACTGGGGACTGGGGAGGGAGGGGCATATACTAGAGTCATGCTTCATGAACTCGAGGCACTGATTCAGACAGGGTTGTGTCAAGTTGTGAGGAACGAATACGGATGCGGCCGGCGGTTTCTTGAGTGGATATCGTGAATGATATCCACACCTGAGACGCGGAACTGCAATTTAACCCCAGCCCGTGTCATAACTTCAAAACAGTAGAAATCAAATAGCATCACCCAGTGTTTGGTTGAGCTGTCGTTTCTGACTGATCACAGGACGCCGATCGGACACCACACCGGCACCTCGTGTGACCTCCGTTCACGTGGTCCGGCTCCATCTAACTCCGCAGACTCGTGCTAGTAAGCACTGGCGGTGCAGAGCTCGGCTCGTGCGGCCGTGCTGGAACGGCAATTTTCGTCACGTCCAATCTGTGATCAACAGTCGGTTTTGACCGGTTTCGGCCGGATGTTGGGTGTGACGTATAGCGCCATAGCTTCTGGTAGCACGTGGAGGTGGTGGGTGCCACGACGTGGAACGGTTTGACAGGCAGCGACCAGTCGACAGGGCTTTGGCTGCAGGGCTGGAGTGGAGAAGCCCGCTTTATAGAAAGGGCCTCCACGGACTGTGGCTGGCTGGAGAGACTTGTTTAGAAAGGGTCTTTCACTCCTAGCCGCATGAAGTGACAATGAGGCACTTAAATTGTTTGTTGGAGATAGTTGGTGAAATGTCATACCTACACCTATAGTCCAAACAAATCATTATTCTTAATTACAAATGCAAAAAGGAGCATTGGTTTATTGCACACAACTGCTATAAATCAGATTAAGGTTCCTCCAGACAACCAAGCTTAGGCATTGTGCATCAAGGCATAGCGCCACAAAAAAAGAACATTAAAGGTATCTGGAGCCAGTTACATTTCAACAGCTCCGTCTCCCCTCAAAATATTCGCTCTCACTAAGTTATAAAAAGTTACAAAGCCTTTCAGTGTTGGTAAAAAGCCTAAATATTTATAACAGTTCAATATTTTTGCATGTGCCATAACTTTACAGTTGATGATTTTGACGATATTTATGAACTTATCGCCGATCCATCTTTGTATCGCTTTCCATGCACACGTCCAAGCAAAAAGTAATACAACCGTCTGGTCATTTGTACTTTGTGGTGTCACATACGAGCGAGATGTGTTCCAGTCCCAAAGCTCGGGCGTGGAAACTGCCATGGTTCATAAGTGGCCGGTATTCCCTCGTGTCCCACGTGAGCACCGCCCAGAGGCTCCCAGTTGTATGTCGTGTTCTGGGTCATCGCGCTGGATCAGTTACCGATGGACTCAGAGCCCATGTTTTATGACACTTTTTGTGTAGCCCCGCCTTTAATTTCACGAGAGTGTAGCCCATATAATCTTTCGGGAATTGGTGGCCTGGAACTTGTTTAGGTTCGAGGAGCTATGATTTGGACATGTGTTTATTCTAGCATTCGCTTCTGTGCGCTCCTGCACAGCTGACCGCGACACTGTGCCGCCAATCCAGACAAGTGTGAAGAAAGTAGAGAATTGGATGAAGGACTAACACTACACAGTGCTAAGAAAGTGAACTATCACGACCACATGCATGCTGGCTCCCTTAGGTAAAGGCTCGCTGTGAGATACATTAAATGCGAATCCTTAACGCTCCGGAAAGTGAAGTCATTTTGACCGTTAACGAGTTGGTATATCCTGCAGCCGTTCGCCATACGCTTATATCTTCTAGCCATGTACATTGTAAGTACATACAGCACGATGTTTGTCTCCCAGCCGCGGGAATTGTGCCTTCCGTTCGCCTGGCTTCCGTTACCCGTCACGCTGCCCTCCGTCACCCGTCACGGTGCTCTCGTTTACCCCGTCACGCCGCTTCCCGTGCCGCTCGAATTGTCACGGAAATGGCCGGCGTTACCTTCGCGTCTGGCACTCCGGGCCGGCGGTATGCAGACCGGCCTCTGTGTGTCCGGACACAGACAAGGCCGCTGGCGGCCACAGAACAGCCGGATTAAAGCGACGAACAAACAACCCATCTGGGGCGCAGATCGGCTAAAGGAGCGAATCGAAGCGGATCAATGTTCAGACGGCTCGGCAGTATGAAAAATTGGGAATGGAGGAGTCTGCAGGCAGGAGCTCGATAGCGGATAGGATAACGGAAAATCCTTCTGTACAATGAAGAAACGTTGCAGAACAATTTTACAATGCACCTAATCAAGGTTGGGAGAAAAAGAGTAACTGCACCAATGCAGCATTCCTCACTTTGTGCAAAGCGTTGTCTGAAAATGTTTCCGCAACCACAAGGTCAATCATTTGTTTATCAAGAAATACCTCTCTGACTTATCGTGAAACAATGCATTCCTCGACTTAAAGGTGTGTTTAAGAAGATTCCGACTTCCGAGGAAAAGTGATGTAACATATATAGACTCAGGAAATGTCAGACACAAACTTGAGGTAAATAAGTCATGCGGCCTTCACGGTGGAATTCAGTCATTATAACCCACACTGGCGAGCCCGGGGTCGGGTGAGCGAGTGTCTGTCGAGACAGGTGAACAATGAATGCATGTCTGTTCCGAGTCATCACCCATGCATCGTATACCTACGTCTACAGAACACGGTGATGTCATTGAAGTTCAGCAATGTTGAAATCATGGCTCTATCAGAACAATGTATTGACGTTTTTTTATCACTTTTTATTTATTTTTAAATAATTTCGTCACAATTCATCATGTGACAAGATGTGTCAGATGCGTTACCCATAGGCGGCGGAACGGGGAGGGCACCGGGGCACCGTGCCCCCCTTTGATTTTGGCATTTTAACATTAGACCTATGGGCGTTTCATGGAAAGAATGGGACCAAAAGTTGGCAGTGCCCCCCCCCCCCTTAATTGAAGGTGGTCCACCGCTACTGGCGTTACCCATATTCATTTAAATGCTCGTGATGTGATCTTTCTCCATTAATAGGACCATGCGCTTATTTGTTTGCCTGGACTCTGATATTGTGGGCCACTTCCACTTGAGTTTCTCGAACCGCTCAGGAACAGGCAGGCCATAGAACACAGCTGCAAAACCGGTAAAACATTTTTCTTCAGACATTTTTTTACCAATAGTCTGTAATCAAAACTTCGGTCCGGTATAACACCGGTTCGGGCGGGTACAGGCTGGTTATCGGAGCCTAAGCCCTCACATCGACCATGGGATGTGGATTGTGGGGGCATTAAGAATATTTTGCACGACGGAATTATCTTTGGATCTTACATAACACACATGACCTGATGTAATGACATCTCAACGTTCTCTTCAACGAGGAAAGAATAGGAGAGATTACTGTGGAGGGGACTTGCTTAGGCTAGTAAACAGCCACGTCTAGGCCAGTCTTGACTTTGAGAGACATGTCTATAGCCTATATGGCAGCAACTAAGGTGAGACTGAGCACTCGAGCAGCCATCCCGTCTCCCCAGTGTACTCACATTACCGATGGCCACTGCCTGGCCGGCGGCCGGCGGCTTATCGTCCGTGACCCGGGACGCCACCGAGTGCCTCCCGTCCGAGCTGGCGTCCTCCTCCTCATAGATCGGCACCACCAGCTGACCGGCCACGCTGTCGTCAATAACCTCCACCGCCGACGGCCGGCGTGCCCAGCGCGCCTGCGGCACCGTCAACTGGTCCATCAGGTCGTCCCCCAGAGCCACGGCGTCCGATCGGCGGCGCGTCCATGAGCTGCCCTCCTGACCGGGCACGGCCAGCTGGTCGAGGCCGGGCCGCGGCCGGCCCTCGGCCGTCGAGCCGCGACGAGATGAGGTCATCTTCGTGCTGTGACCTGCACAGAGAGGGGCATTGTTAGAGGCAGCCTTACCGGGGCAAAGGCCAAAGGATGGTGCTGAGGGCAGGCTTGAATAGGGGAGAGAATGGTGTTGATGTTAATTCACCCATGATCAGATATCATCACAATAAAAGCCAGTTATCAGCTACATAATGAAATGGCAATAAAAACACAGCTCAATATTGGTTATGGCGTCGTTTGTTGGGATTAAAATGATAACGTAACCTTAATTCGTCTTTTAGCATTCGCTGAGGAAAAAATAAGCCCTATAATGCCATGATTCGTTGCTGGGGCCAGATAAGCGCCGTCTTCAGATAGCAATAAATCATAGTAACAAACACAGCCATAAAAGCTGCACCTGTCAAATGCACAATCACTACTCACTAGTGTAAAGTGTATTGCACAATAGGCTCTCTCGCATACTCGACGAATAAGCTTAAAATAGGGGTGCAGTAGGGACCAATAGGGGCGCATGGAAACCCTACATAAGCGTGACACTATTATTCTGAAAGTGCGAAACGACCGCGGTGTCACTCAGCTGTGCTCGGGTCATCGCTGCTGGCATCTGACCGACAACGATGACCCTCAATGCCTACTACGACTACCTCAATGTATACTCATATTTAATTGGCACAGCATTTTTAACTAATTACACATCTGCTTACCGCTATGATAACAAAGGAATCGTTATACGATGAATCATATTGAACTGTGTCTTTAAGTCGACGGTTTCCGTTTTATTCCTCCCACTGCTTAGTAAGAGAGACGGTCTGTTAAGATCGCTTTTGCAACAAGTCTATGCAGTGTAACGGATTCTCGTGTCATTCGATCGGGACCATCGCCCCTCTCACGGCCGTGTGGGACGAACACCTGTGCACACAGCCCAATGAACACTGAACAGTTCCGCATACCGGCGGCGGGGCAGTGTAACGAGTACCCATCACCGGCCTTGGATCAGCGACTCAACCGCGTCCCGGAACGACGCATCGGAGAGATCCATATGTACCTACGATGCTCAGATTGAGTGTGCATTTGGATCGCATTTGTGCTTTGTTGCTTGCTCTTCTTCATCATGTCCAAACACACATAACTATAATCAATCCAAGTGCAACGATAACCGGCATAAGTGACTGATTTAACCTCGTCACCTGGCGACACTGCAACGCGTTGACCTCGCCGGCTGGGTTTCCACAACCTGTCTCCTCTTGGCCGCGGTGCTAAGCTGATGGCGCCGACATACATACCTACATCCAGCGATTGGTCGTGGCCCTTCACTGAATGGCACCTTGAACCGTATACGCCTCAGACCTCGGTTCGAGCCCTATCATTTCACGCTACCAGCTTCTCCCATAGCCGCTTCTGAACTTCAGGGAGGGAATGGTGTAAGTGCGGGGCTGACAAAGCTCGAGGCTGGATGTATTGTGTACCTAATAAGTGTAGCTGATGATAATGTTGCGTGATAAGTCCGAGCCCGTGGAAGCTGACACTATAAACACACACTCTATGGTGGAACTGGATAGAAGATACAATGGGGTGGTTATATGGGTTCTTTTTGTTGATGCTGGAAAATCCATGCAATGAGTTGGTAGGTCTGCATGTTTGTAAGCACAGAATAGACTTCCGCGGACTCCCGGACTTCCGCAACACATTGCAACGCCATGCCGGGACCTCAACAATTAACACGTCAGATTCAAAGCTGCATCTTTGTACCATTGCATTATGCGCCAGAAGGGCCAGTTTCAATAGGAAAATCCTAGACTTTGATAGCCACTATCGAAGCCGCTTGGACGGCGCGGTTGCAGCATGCACCTGAAAACGTAAACTCACATTCACCGGTAATAATTGCTATAAGCTTCAATGGGCACGATTCTATATAATTCAACAGATATTGTCACATAACACCGAAATCCTTAGTAGATCATAAACATAACTATATCCGTAGCGTAGGTTCCGATTGGCAAAGCACCTCGGCAGCGAGATTATATGCAACACGGCCCATGGGATCAAACTGCTTCTGCGCTCGGTAAATAAGATTCCTAACGGACATGACTAGCAGTTGAAGCTCCAGCCAGGTTGTCAGTCAGTGGGACATACCATGCCCGGCTGTTTGCGGGCAAGATCAACTTCTCGCAGCTGCACAGGCTCTCCTTTAGCACGAATTGCAAATAAGTGATAGCAAGGTTTTGAAGGCGCCAAGGGCTTATTTGCATAAGCCCATCCTATACTTTTCCGCCATCAGTGATGCCTTCCTCGTTTGTCGTAGTCATTTGAACTTTGTTTACACGCATCAGCGAATATCGATCAAGGACAGATCTGGAGGTCGGTTTACGTGACCTTTCTAGCTCTCCGGCACGGTCGAACTTCAACTGTGCACATAACCGTTACCTTGAGGCTTAATTATTTGCTGAGCACTTATACATACATCTTCAATCGGATTGGTAATTCAGCACTGTTTCGTATATCACGCTTAAATCGTCGCAATTTTGCAGAGACCAGTAATATTTAGTACCTACTGCTGCACGGATAGTCAGGCAAAATAGATTTCAAGTGCGCTATAAATGTAAACGTAAAAATGCACGGCACTTCATAACTCAAACTGCATGCTGTTACTGATGATAAACTTGCTGATTGACGGCTTATTGGTGGCTGATGACTTTCAGCGATCGGCGAAGGGCTTTATTCCGGTTCTCTAGTCCACGAACTAACAGACATGTTCCCCATTCGTTCCGGTTAATTTGCGCCCATCCACTGCTTTCTAACGAGGAAGGTGATCGGACGAAGTTCCAGTACGGAGTACAGTTTACTCACCTTATTGACTCTGCAGTGTACACCGTGAATTTCAACTCACTCCTTCCCGTCACACACCACCACGAGCTGCACTTTCGTCGACTTGTCGCGGACTTTTGAGTGCTCCCGAGAGAACCACACTATTTTCCCTGCCTCACAGCTCACAGACGCCACTCGTCACCGCTGTGATCCGTCACACGGTCGTCACAGTCGCCACACCGCGGTCGTCACCCGTCACGGTGGATCACACAGTCCGGTTCGTCCACGGTCCACCCGTCACACCGACACGCCGACCACAGTCCACCCGCGGCTAACGTCAGCACTCCGCCCGTCGCCGCTCAGCGCCGGACCGCTACTGAGCGAGCGGTGCGGTACATACGGCGGACGGCGGGCGGCGGGCGGAGGGAGGGCGGAGGGCAGTGGTGAGGGCCACGGACTGACAGGTGTCGCTCCACCGGTGACGTGTGACCACCCGACCGCCGTCATAAACAGTCATCAGCTCACTCACTCACAGGCGGGTCTACCGGTTACAGAGACGCCCATCACAAAATTGAAAACACCCTATTATACATAGACAGCCGACAAAGCGGCACATAATAAAGAAATAAATATATCACTCGAACAAGCTTTCAACACATACAGATCACCGCACACCCTGCCAAAATTTGGAATTTGACCAGCATGCAAACCTTTTCCGGGAACGTGGTATAAACAAACAGCTCTGCACCTCCAGGGACAAGTCGACGCATTCGTTTCGTGTATACTGTATAGTTTTCACATCCCAGAAAAATGCCTCTAATCTTTAATAGCCCCGCTCCAGAGATGCTGAGAGAGCCACCCTCTGTCGTCCGGAAGGTCGGCACTCGGTACTGCGAAGTTTGCTGCACAAGTGCACTCGGTGATTTATCGAACACAGCTGAACAACGGAAATAATGACCCGACATTAAGGGCAGACGGCAGACACGTTAGATGTAATTGGCGTCACCGGAAATATTCCACGGTACAATTAGTAGCTTCGGTAGATAATAAGGTGTTTACAGCATTGGCAATATGAATAATTACCACCATATACAAATAATAAGTTCTGAAATCTTTAAAGGGGACGAAGGGCTGAAGGTCATTTCACTCGGCCTGAACACTGAGCAGCAGGCACTAACTGACATTCGAGGTCACTGCCAGTCTCTTGCATCGGTGCAGTTCATATCCGAGAGGCAATTGTCGATCATCAGCAGTTCGGCTTATTCGGGTAAACAGGTGCCGTCTCACGCGAGCGTCGGCGACTTATTCGGCTATCGCGTGTCTCCCCCGTAGCAGCGCTCTCCAATAGCATGTCGGCCGCTCTCTGGCGGCGCGGGACCGCTCCAATAGCAGCCGACAGGGGTGTCGTCAACCGCTCGTTATACGAGGTGTGGGGCGCCGCTGTCCCACCAATCGAGACGGGAGAGTGCGTCATCGACTTCGCGAGGGTCCAGGGGACACGAGGCGCGGGACCAATCAGATGACCGGACCCCATGGGGAGGGGGAGACTTGTCCAATGAGAGGAGCCGAGATGGCGACAAAGCCTCCAATCACGAGCGGCATGTGCGTTATGCACTTCTTGTGCTTCTGTAGTTAATCTAGTGATATGCGTGAGGTAATCAGACACGTAACGATCGGTTATATAACTCAGCATCGTGTAACGGACCACGTCATTCCACATCATGGTTGCCAGGGCTGCTTGATTATTTGCTCATTGTGTTGCCTCTTCGCTCAATTAGTCCGAACGCCTAAAGGAGATAACATAAGCCGACTGCAGACTGTCCTCTCTATAGGGTTGGCATACGTTACCTTTTCACCATCATGAGTAAACTATAGAGATAGAGAGAGTGAGACGGCTCTGTCTGCGGCGGCACCGCGTTGTGGTCGACGGCGGCGGTTCAGCAGGTATAACTCCAGTGTTTGGGACGGGAGACACGGAGAAAGCTGCGGCTTACACCGTCAGCTGCATCCATCGGGCTGGACTGGGTGACATAAAACTGCAGAGGCGCAGTTAGAACTGGCCGCGGCACGATGGTCAATCCCATCTCGGACCCAAGCATTCCAACAATCTAGCATTTGGCGTAGTGAGATACCGGTCCAATGTTGGATGTGAAACGAACCGGTCTCGTATGCATGCTCTAACGTAACAAAGCCGTGACATAATGTGTAACTATTCAGTAACGCTGAGGGCTCTCCAACAATGGAGGCCGCCTAGATAATTCGTGAGGTCGCTGCTTGGTACGGTCAGCCTTCACGGTCCAGGAAATGTTTTCGCGTGATGAAATATTTACCTCGGTGGTGTGGTAATCATCAGGATCAAAAACAGGTTTACGGTTTTTCGGAAAACTCCACGCGCTGAGTCCACATATGGATTTATCTGATGATAATGCTGACAAGGACGGTGTAGTAATGTCTAGTTACATCGAACCAGACTGCTAAAATCTTGAAGCTGTGTAAGTGCAGGACGTACGCTCACGGGAATCGCTTAAATAAACGTTATTGGTAAGGGCGCTTATGGCTAGTTTTAGGATGGCAAAGCCACTCTTACCAGCGGCTCACTGATGACCGGATATTTTCATTTCTCCCCAGGCCAGCCCACAGTACGTCATCTTTGTTGCTTGGCTCACAAGATCCACCAGTGGCATTTGTTTGTCGGGCCTGCAGTCCGTGCGCGCCTGTCGAGCAGGAGTGCTGTATACGGCCGAGCGACTGAGGAGGGGCACGGGTCTGTCGCCGCCGATAAACAGCCGTCGACGGCCTGTGACAACAGACAGCAGTGCCCTGTCTCCCACGTGGGGTCGTTTTTGCCGGCGGGGCGTTGCTATCGCCGTATTTATCGTTGCCCCCGTCGAGCGGACGACGAGGTTGCGAGGGTCACCCGTGACTTTGACGAGGAGGTCGTTTGTAAGAGATGTGCTGGTGAGGCATGCTATATGCTGCACTTGCAACGAGGAGGAAGAGAGAGAGACAGAATGCGTAGGTGTTCGATTCTTCCTAGGAAGATAACTTAGTGTGCATAAGAAGGACGAGTGTGCAATGCACACGCTATCAAAGTGTTTGCAATATGTAGATTACTTTAATTGCAACGACAAGCAAATCAGGAAGAATGCCAGCCATTATGGTGAGAATTATCGCTTATGTACTCTTTTTATCAACAGTGAGGTCTCCTGATTTCACGAGATACTTTAAATTTGCATTTCCCGAACAAGCGAAGACCTCATTCCCCATTTTATAGACCATCTTACATAAAGCTATAAGGCCAACTTGTAAACCAATCTTTTGGGTAAAGACCTTTAAATAAAGTTATTGTACTGTTTCATCTCTAAACATTAAATTTTCATTAATCCCATGCAGTTTCGTAAGAACAACATATTTCTGAATCAAAAATGAGCCCCAGTTCAGCCCAGTTTAGCACTGAAACAGGCAAGGCACATCAATGTGCCCTAACGTATAAATGCTTTCATAACTACGTGTATACCAAAGTGATAAATGAAGACACAACGTGCCTAAACAGTTTTTTTTTATCCACAGCAGACGGGACCTCACCCTCGAACACATCTGCGAGTGTTGAAACGTAAAATGATTCACAAAATCGTCATAAAAGCATATATAATCATAAGATGCGCTAATACGGTCGTATTGCATCGTACCATCGTTATCACAATGTGCTTCGTGAGGTCAATTGCCTTGTTGATTATTTCACACGTAATTCACATTTCACATAATCATGCTGGCCTACACTGAAAATATACGTTCATAGGATATGTTGGTGGGCCTTTACAAGCATTGATTTATGAAAATGTTTTTCATTTATTCATACATAGGTAGATAACATGAATAGACAACATGATTCATGTTATCTATGATTCATAATACCAAGAAACACACCCGTTAAAGATGTATACGTAAGTACCTATAGAATGTTGCATTGGTATCCGTAGAGATACATATACCTATGCCTATACGAACAACGGACATTTCCGTGATGACATTGAATGTCACGCGTACCTGTGGAGGGGTTTGGAGATGGGTATTTAGGATGCATGCAAGCTGCAATAGGTCACTTATCAACATGATCATTTAAATAAGGCCTGGCTCACATGTATAACTGATTTGATCCGAAGCCTTGTAGAAAACAGCGATTTCCTAACATTCATTACAAACTGGGATTACAGTTAATAAAGAAAACACCGACAATGAGCGAAGTATCCAATGTATGAGCATTGAGCAGCTCCCATTTCCATTGGTCAAATTTCAGGGTCTATATTCCTTTCTACGCTGAGGTCTTTCACACCGCATGATCACCTGAGTGCAACTTTTAATCGGGTTTACATATCACATCTGGATTGGATCTTAATACCTCCATCTGGCTACTGAGCTGTCTCCACGCAATCAGCCCATAGAGCTAAGATGGATTCTCCATTCAAAATTATCTACGGTGCAATGATTATCAAGCGTACATGTTCGATGCATGTATGTCAGGGTCGTCAGTGAGCATTCAGCAGGAAATAAAAGGATCAAACTAAGATTTACTTACACAGCATGGCGTGCATAGATAATTGCTACCTGTTTTTACAAAATTCCACTGGGCTCAAAACTAATCGGCTTATCTTAATTCTTAAACGCTGAATTACGTAAACGACGACCCTGCTGAACGGTTCCATAACTAAAATGATCAAACGTGGTACCGGTTAAATAGGCAAGAGATGAGAAAATGACGCATGGGTGTAAATTTGCGTCAAAGCCAAATCAAATTTATGTGCCACTACACTTATTAGTTTACCATTTATTGTCATAGCATTACAGAAAGGCCCCTTTCCAACTAGCCTGGTAGTTCGAATTATTATACCGCAGCAGTCGAGAAGTGCACGTCCGGGAACGATATCCGTTCGTCCACGGATAAATGACGGTTGCCTCTATTCCAGAATGTACGGTATCATCAGACCGCACTCACTGATAACTGTGCCTGAAGTTGCCTCTTGCCGTCTTGAGAATGAAGTCACTCTCGCTCGGCTCGGTACAGAATCGCGGCCACGTCACACGGCAGACAGAGACCCTGCTCTGGTCTGCCGGTGATCCGAGCCTGGTCTCACACCGCGCGCACAGACCCGTCCGTTCTGCGCCAACCAGAGATCCTCCCTGACTGGATCTCTCTCAGAGACAGCTGGAGTAACCTTCGGCCCGTCTCAACGCTACCGGTAGCACCACCGCACAACAGTCCTCGCCGCCACCGCCGGCGGTCAGCGCGTGAAACAAATCACAGCTCAAATCACGGCACTGAGCAAACAGAGCTGCGCCTCCTCGGGTGCCGCTCTGACTGATACCGGAGAGATAGCGGCGCGATGTGTCTCCACGGGCGGCGCGATGTATCTCCGCTGGCGGCGCTCCGACCTGGCGACCCGGGGTGGGACGGCCACAGGTCCCGCGCGTGTGAGCCGCACCGCGGCACACCGGACGGGCGCTGCAGACCGACTGCGCACGGGCACTCGGAGAACCCCCCGAAACGGCCCCACGGTGGGGCACACGAGGTAAACTGGCTGGTCCGGAGAGGCCCTACCCGGTCCTGTCAGCCACACCTTCAGCCTCAGCGTGGCGGGCTTTTTTACAATTGCCAGACATGGAGTGATCAGGCAATGGGCCTGCCTGTCGAGCTAAAATTGCGGTTAACGAAATTGAAAGCATCGGCGGGCGAGCATGACGCTTTAAAGGCTGCAAGGGAGGACGAGGGAATGCCAGCTTTCAAGACGAGTAATGAAATGAGCCCGACAAAACTTATGTAGGTAATCTGATAACACTTGATCGAGCTATTGAAAGCTTTGAAAATAATAAAGATAATTTAACTAAAAGTCAATCGAAGCCTACGTAGGTGGTAACGATGAATAGCGAGCTTTGAAGTGACGCCAAAGATAGCACAACAATAGGTGTCATGCTCACTGAGCATTGAGCAGACATTGATCGATGTTGAGAAATCTGATAAGCTAGTCATAAACCTCAGGCGACCGAAGGCATAAGGCAGATACATATTATGGGCAAAGGAAATATCTTACTTCAAAAAGGAGTGTAATTCATCAACAATTACAACCTATCAGTCTCGGTCGTAAGCACCGTCCCGTTTATGAACACCTCACCGGTTTGAAAGCTAACAATGACACCTAGATTCGTGAGACTTTCAACCTGCCAAAAATAGCCTTCATGTGCCTGATACTCCTAGCATGCCCATTGTCCACCCCCAGTTGTTCTCAGGGACACGGCTTCATTTATGTATGCACTTTGGGATCGCCGTCCTAGTAGTTTGAAAACTGCGGCGACCTTGCATCGACGCCAGGCGTTTTTCTTGTCGTAAATTATAGATAAAGCATTCCGATAAACGAAACATAGCTGTCTGGGAAATCACGATCAACAGTCCGCCCACTTTGGCCGGCAAGCATGCAACCAGTCGTATGGGGCGAGAAAATCGCAAAACGTTTACCGTAAAAATAAACCATTAAAGCACTTGAATATCTGCATTTGTCGATATCCTTGATGAGAAAGATGGTATTTTAGAAGGTTGAACCCCTGTCGGTTATCAATAGACTCAGCAAGTTCTTCACAAGTGAAATTCAGTCCGAGCTCCAATTATGTCCACGCTGCACAGGATAAGCTTATTATTTGGCTCACGAAGGGCAAGCTTCGTAAAATGAGTTGAATTTATTCATGCTAGCTCGACCTATGTCTAAGCACAATGGGGATTTTGTCGAGAAAAAAATGCAGAAACCCAGAATCGTAGGCATTTCCCTTACAGTCACTGCACGAGCCTCAGCCAAGGCCGGCCTTTACCCCTTACCCATGCAATGTTGACTTGGCGTCAAGTCAATACCGTCCCCCATTAACCCGCGCCCCGTAGGGCTACCGGCGGACCCTACCACCCGTAGGGGGGGGGGCCGTTTCGGCCCCCCCTAAGATCTCGGAAAGTTACCGGCCGATTTTCAAAATTCAAACGGCGTTCGATAGCCCCACCCGGGAACTACCTTGTGACCAAATTTCATTGACCTAGGTCAAACCGATGACGTCACAGGTCAGGTCAAAGGTCAGATTTTCACCGTTCACAGGTATTTCAAGAAATGTGTTGTGAAATCGAGTAAATTGGTAATTTATTGAAAACCATCGATGGTACATTGTTCGTCAAACACATACTTTGCTATCTGAGGTCACTGATACCAGGTCAGGTCACAGCGAGGTCAGGTCACCGGGGGTCACATTATGAAAGTGTCGTGTGATACATGTTTTATGGTCCATTTTACATGACAAATGCGATTATGTGGGTTAGGTAGCCTTTGGGGCCAGCCTAGGTCACGTTTTGGTGAAGGTCAGGTCAAGGTCAGGTCAAATTAGGTCAAATTTCAAAGTTGATATTTTTGCATAAAATGGGTATCGATTCGATGCAGCTCGTCACGGGGAGTCCAATGGTGGTCTTTGTTTTGCTCTACGAGGTCTAGAATTGCCAAAAATTGAGTTTGAAAATTTGACGTCATCATTTTTGAACAGTTTTTTTCGTTATAACTTGGCCAAAAAACGAGGTATCGATCTGAAATTTGGTATGTAGGTAGAAGACGGTAGGTACTATCACATATATTCCGGGTTTTTTGAAAATCAAAAAACTTTTTGGATTTTTCGGCTTATATATCCAAAAAAATGCATTTTTGATTTTTGGGGGTCAAAACTCGAAAATTTCAAAAATCCGAGATAGCAGTTTTGTAGCTCTGTCAATTCTACACCTTTTGTGTCTTGATCATTTTTCTGTATCTTCAAAGCTGTAGGCCTGACAGGTCTTCTCGCGAAGGTCTTTTTTCGGTCGAAAATGACAGAACATGACGTCATTCTGACGTCATTTATGGCCAACCTATCATAGCCTCTGGAAAAAATTTTTGGTCACAATGTGTAAAATCGATGCCCGGAGGGGTCCTGAAAGTTTGGTGGCGATATCTCCAGCCGTTTAGGAGATATCGACCGAAAAGGACGGGGGGGGCGTTTCGGCCCCCCCCCCTACGGGGCGCGGGTTAACTGACTTTGGCTATACACCACCCACACCGGCTGACCTCGTCTGGGGAGTGTCGAAACGGACGCCCCTGATCGTCTGTGAGCATAGTGGGGAAATGGCGGCTCCGCAGAAAGGTGACTCGATGAGCAAACGTCCTCCGGCGCCCAGTCTGATCAGAGTTCCGGGCAGTTTCAATGCGTCTCACGCAAGGTCAAACCGTGCTGCCGCAGCTCTCGTCCTTGTTCGGCATTTAGCGCTGATGTGAATACCGCCGGTAGATTGGTAGTGGCAAGACAGAAGATCATTCGCATGAATGCAAACATTGCGAGAAAGTTGAACGCGACATTTTGACAGCTCCCCAGCAACAAAGCGCAGAATGTCGGACCACCTCGCACACATTTACATCGTTCGCCTGTTCGCTACACCATGATCTGAAAACAAAGTGATGGCTTTGCAAGGTGTATTTTACATCGTTAGAATACACAGAGTAAAAACATTTCCTAAATACCTGACGGCGGGCACACCCCTTTGTGATTGAGCGTCGACACTTGTGGGAAGAGAGGAAGAGGGCAGTGAGACCATTGAGGTTGGACATCACCCTGAGCCCTGGCGGGCTGCGTCCCAGCTGAGGAGACCGGGCGGTCCTCGGCGAATGAAGTAAGACTCAGGGCGCACTACCAGAGCACGAGCCAGCGGTCGGACTGCTGTCTGACAGCGTCGAGCGGCGGCCACGAGCGCAAAGGGTGACTCTCACGCGGACCAGACAGATATACGATTCGGACAGACTGGCTGGAATGGGCGGCGGCCGAGCAGATATTTAGGAAAGCCCGCGCGTCTCGGCGGCCGGCTGGTCGGCGCCGAGACGGGCAGGCGCGCCGACGGAGGTGAGGGGCACGAGTGAGCGACCCGTCCGCCTCCATCGCTCCGCCCCGCACACAAGATAAAACCACCGGCGCCCGCGTCCCTCACCCACGCTCCCCTCCCCTGTCGAGTAAAACCATTCAGTAAAAGTAAGACCAGCGCCACCAATGAAGAGACCAGTCCAGAGCACGATTCGACGGCCGTGAACGCGCCGCGCTAGGCAATCTTAAAAAGAAGACTAGGTTCGCAGAGCACCCGCAGCGTAGGCCCGCACGCACACCGACCGGGCGGTGCCAGTTTAATCTTGTGTGAGGTGGGTCTGTCGCGCGCGCCTGATGACGCCGCGGCCATCAGTCGCACCCTTCACCTCCGTACGAGATCCGTGTACACACACCCCGCTGACACATACACACATACACTCACACACAGACGCGCGCGCCCCCTCACACACAGGGAGCGGACGGCGACCGCTCTCAGTCACGGGCTGTACACTGTACAGTGGGCGCGCACCGGCCGCCCGGGAAGGTGAGACGGCCGGCCGGCCGACACAATTCATCGCTCTCGCTCTGGCCCCTGCACATGCGGCGGGGCCGGCCGCGGGGTAGGTCCGCGGACACGGCGCACGGCACTCCGCACCGCCGACACCGGACACTGGGGTAAAATTGGGATTTGAACCCTTGTATCACAGAGAATTTCTCGAGTCCGGTCCTGTCGGGTACTGAAACGCAAGAAAAGGCAGAGTTACTCGTCTGCTTTTTGGACTTGCGGCTCTGATGTTTCCCAGCCAATCTTACTGATCGCTAATTGCAAAATTGAACATAGCCCAATGACAAGTCCAATTAACTCATCGTTCGACCCCCAGTAACGTTACAATTATGAAAGCGATCGTCAAAAAAAAAAAAAAAAACGCTGATCCAGCATGTGACACATGACAAATTTTGGTCTCTCACACCACTCGTCTATCCCATCTAGCCCCAATGCCACCGATCTGAGCACCCCTAGCCGTCAGAATCCTTCTTGTACCCGGGGCCTATTCCGACCAGGATCCCGTCCCGCCCGACCCCTCAGTACCAGCTCCATCCCCCGGCCTGCTCCAGTCCCTCACCTATGCAGAGGACGAGGCGTCTCCGTTGGCCTCTTGCCCCCCCCCCCCCGCCCCAGTACCAGTCTCCCCCGGTCGTCTCACGTCCCTTACCATAGACCTCTCCTCTGTACACCTTACCATAGACCTCTGGTGTACAGAGGTCTATGCCCTTACCTATGCGGAGGACGAGGCGTCTCCGTTGGCCTCTTGCCCCCCCCCCCCCGCTCCCGTCCCGTCCCTTACCTATGCAGAGGACGAGGCGTCTCCGTTGGCCTCCTGCGCGCCGCCCCCGTTAACCATGTACGGAGTGCCCAGACCGTACAGGTGGCCGCCGTACTTGGCGTCGTCAATGTTGTCCTCGAAGAACATCTGAACGGAATAGGAGGCAATGTCAGTTTCAAAAGGGCTCCAAACAGCGTGAGGCGGACAGAAATGTCCGAAAGACTGCGGTTTCTAAGACAAAGACTGGCTTCTTCAGTACCTAATTCAAATGCAAAGATACAAAAATTTGTAACTGATTCATTACATTTGAAGCTCACGAAAACATGTGCAAAACCGGCAAAAGCTTCACTGACCTCCCTCATCTTGAAGAAGGCGGCGCCGGTGAGCAGACTGTCACTGCCTGCCTGATGCTGCGGTCCAACCCGCTCCAGGTCCAGTTGATCAGCCAGCTGGAAATAGAACCAATACGGTTAG